GTCTGAGCAGCCTCGATGGATCACCTCGGCCGGACTCACCCGTGGCTGGCTATTTTCCGGACACGATCGAGCGTCAGAGAGGCGGAGCGCCGTACACGCCGAGCGACGCCGCTTGCGGTGTTACCAGAGCGGGCTGCTGCTCCAGTGCATTTGGTAGAGCCTCGAGCTCGTCGCGAAAGTCTTCGCCCGATGATGCTGCGCCAAGCAGCCATCGGAAAAAGTATACAATTTGAACGTAGAATATGAAATAGATGGATAGATACGATCGAAACGAGCGTTTTTTCTGTCTAGGTCGTCTCAACAGCGAGACTCGTCCGATAAGAAAAGCGGCAACACCGATAGTCAGAGAAAATCCATCGACGAGAGAAATTCTCGCCAACTTAAAATGGACGATCAAGGAGAATCGAGCGGGAAGAGAAGATGTTGCCAGCGAAACGTCGTTGAACATCGAAGCTCGGAGGATACGTCGAGAAACAATCGCGGCGAAAAGAAAGCGGTTCAGCCTAAGAAGCTGGACGCCAACGAACGAGACGCTGCTGGTTGCCAATGCGCCAAGCAAACCAAATCGTCGCCCCAAAAGACGGCGAAAAATAAAGCGAAGAACGACAAGGAGTTGAGACTCGTCCTCACGGATTTTTGTCCGGTGCAGGAAGGCAGCTGTCTGATAGTTTGCCGCCAGCAGGAGTTCGATTGCATTAGACTGCCCTGCGATCCGAAGATTTTGAAGGAGAAAATTTTCAGGGGTCAGTGCGAAACTTCGGACGATGGTGCGTAAATTACCGAGCTTTCTGTATCATAATCGTTATCGCGATCGACTTGAAAATCAATTCGCACTTTACAGGCAAGCTCGTAGACGATCTGAAAATCGTCTGCGACTGTCTCAATCACGAAACTTGCAGGATGGACGACGAGCAGCTGGCCAACTCGTTTCTGGCCTGCGACGTGCGCAAGAATTATCTGCACTTCAAGCTCGGCAACGTGAAATCCAAGCTCTGCGCCTTCTCCACCAAAGTGAGCCTGGGAAATCGCGAGGAGTGCGTGAGATTCTCGCCCGAGTTCTACGAGATCGAGTGCTCGAATCAGTCCAACGACGAGCTGTCGGCGAGCTCGAGCGAGGAGGACAACGACGACGCCGCCGACGCCGACCGCGACGTGGAGGACGAGGAAGAGGACGACGAAGAGGAAGATCCCACAACGTAATAAGAAAATGCTTAATCGCGCTGAGGCGCGCGAGACGTTGCTTTAATTAAACGGAATTTCCGTGAAGCGTCGCAGGCGCTACTTGTCTCATCCGGCGGTTTTTGCTACAGCAAGGGCTGCTGCGGCAACGGCAACGCCGGTGATCCGAGTCTTTCCGGCTCCTCTTCGCTCTGCAACGACGACACCTCCCTGACTGACAAGGAAGAAGAAGACGAAGAAGACGAAGAGGAAGAGGAAGAAGAGCAGGATGACGACGGGGACGAAGAAGAGGACCAAGCGGCATCGGATAACGAGCTTTGCGCACTCTGCGGTAGCTGCCCTTGCGGCTGTTGCTGTAGCGATCAACGTCACGCACCCAAAGCGGCGGACAAGCAGCAGAAGCAGCAGAAAACGAGTCCATGTGCGTGTGCGTGTCCGTCGAACGAACGAGGCTCCTCGAGCAAAGGCCGCACGAAGAATAAAAGAAAACCGGAAAAAAGCCCGAAGAAATCGACCAGGTGCATCGTGAAAATCAAGTGTCAGAACAAGACCGAAAGTCCCAAGTCAAAAAAGTGTTCGAGCGAGGTCATTGCCGCAAAGGACGACGAGGACGCGGTGAACGAAAAATGTCGCTGGATCGACGAGAAGCTGTCGCAATTGCGCAAGGATGTGATCGACAATTGTAATAAACAGTTCTCGCCAAACGCATCGCTGGATGGTGAGTCATCGTCGTCGCCGTCGTGTCCGTCGGACGAGAGCTCGAGCAATGCGCTCATTTGCTTTCCCGAGGTATCGTGCGAAGACATCGTCAACACTCGCGATGACTCCTGCGACGATAAAAAAGAGAATCGACCGACCGTTACGAAAAAGGATCGGCCAGGACCACCTCGAGCAGCAGCGCCAGCATCGGTACCTGCACCATCGTCGGGTTCCGCTAAAAAACCATCGACCGGATGCAGCGAGAGTTGCTTCCTGCCTGAGCCGAAAGCGCGTCAAGGCACCAAGAGAAGCGTACTCATGCCTTATGATCCGAATCAGTGGCTGGCTTACAAGATCGGCACGCTCGAGTGCGAGCTCGAGAAATTCAAATCCGACAGCAACAAAAATAAAACTAAACGAGCAAAAAAATCTACGCCAACGACGAGAGACACGGATCTCGACTGCAATAGCAGCCAAGCCGAAGAAGCAGGAGCAGAGGTAACAAAAAATAATACCTTCGCACCTGCTGACAAGTGTAAGAAGCAGAGCAAGAAGAAAGATGCAGCCATCTGTACGGAGAAAAAAGTCAGCGGATGCAGTCGATGTAGTCGACGCAGTTGCGTATCGCGCGACGTCGAGACATCTACCGACGACAAGATAGCGAACCCTTGCGACGACGGAAAAAGTAACGACGACGATCGGAAAGAGTGTCCGCGCGACAAGGCAGTCGTCGAAGATGGCTGTGGCATGAATATTTACGTCAACGAAATAAGCTTTTGTAACTGCAGAAATAATAAAGACGATAGCTACTACAGTACGCACGAAGCGGCTGTGAATACCGACTGCTCGAGCGAGGACAAGTTCAAGAACATTTCGACGAACACCGATTGCCCGAAATTCTGCGACAACTCGACTCAAGCGACGTGCGTGGCAAAAGTCAGCCGGAATGACCAAGACAGCGAGTGTATATGCATCGAATGTAAGATCGAGCAGTGCCGAGGCAAAACCAAACGAGTCGACGACGACGACGACGACATTGATGGGTGCGAAACGAGCTCGACGTCTCGACGACAACGTTGCGAGACGAAGTCGTCGTTGGCGAAAAACGACACGTCAAAATCGTGTGGATCATCCAGAAGGACGACGAGGACGATCGAGGATTGTTGCTCGGAAGCGACACCGCGTAAAACGTTGCCTCGCAAGACTTGCACGACGCAGAAGCCCTTCGACGATGCGATTATGATCAATTGCATGGACGACGAGGAAGAAGAAGCGACGCCAGGAAAAGACTTCACTTGCTCGCAGATGAAGGACAAGATCAACGAGATCGTTTGTCTGAACCAAAAAATCTGCCGGGAAATCGACTTGATGCGCGAGACGAAAATCAATACCAGCGATAAATGCAATAACGAGCGCGAAAAGCAGCCGCAGTGTCAGCCTCCGCCCTGCAGCGTCGAGATTCAAGTCAACGCGTCGCTCACCTCGCTGAGGACTTACAGTCAGCACTCGATACGCTTGGAGAAACCGAGCCGAGCTTGCGGCCCGGACACGCCCAAAGTCGTCGAGACCTGTCGGCTGAAGAAGATCATTCACACGCAGACGAGCATGATCTTCAACGGTGATTGCTGCAACGGCGTCTGTCGGCGTCGACCGCGCGACATTCCCTTCTGCATGAGCCCCGAGGACTCGGAGATAATCGACGTCTGCAACGCCTCGATAGCTAGCTCGGCAGCCTGCTGCAGTGTCAGAGAGCAGCAGATGGCCGGCGGTGACGCCTCCATCCAAGACCTATGCCCCATCTCCGAAGAGGAGGACGAGGAGCTGGGACACCTCAGATCCACGTGCTTGGACGATCGTCCGTCAGCGGCACAGCCGCCGCGCAAATGCAACAAGCGCAGCAACTTCCTCAACTTCCTGTCGGACCACCTGACGCGTGACGCCTTCGACAGGTGCCGCAAGCTCATCGGCACGGTACTCGGCCGGATATTCGACAGCACTAGCCCGAAGAGGCCCCGTGGGAGGAGACGCTCTTGTCGCTGCAGAGGACACCATCGGCGAGATTACGTGCAAATAGTCGACGACTCGGTTTCGTCGTCTCTTCTCGTGCTGGACGATGACTGCTGCCATCGTCGTCGTCGTCGTCGTCGTAACTGCGTCGACAGACTCGACGGCGGAGGCTCGGATAACGGCGGGCAACGCCAGAGACAAGCGAGAAGGGGACAGAAGTGGACGGAAACGGCAGGAGGCAGGAGCTTGCACAGAGCCGTGCGGCCCGTGAAGATGAGAACGATGACTCGACAGAGCGTCGCGACGACGAGCGACGAGTATAGCCGACACGACATCTACGAGGCGAGTCTTGGCTCGCTGCCACCCGTGACCAATCGATGGAAATATTTCTAGATGTATAAATTGTTATTTGCATCCATGCCTGAGATTTGTTTTTTTATCCCTAATTGGATACAATTGATATTTGTAAGTTTTGCAATAAAGAGGTAATTTTTTTTCTTAAATACTCAAGCCTGGAGTGGTATGCAATAAAGAGGTAATTTTTTTCCTTATATGCTCGAGCCTATGGTGACGAGAGATGATGATCGTTCCATTTGTTATCACGCGATCCAGTGTGATGCTTGCGTTAATTTGATAGATAGAGCAGTAGATAAGCGCCACAAGTACTCGTGCAAATTAATAAACAACGTGTGGCCTAAAGTAAATGCTTACTATGATCCGAGATCGATTGATCAAATAAAAATTGATTGAGTAACTATTTGTGGGTATGTACGCCCGATGATCTTTGCGCTGCTGACACGGTGTGTGATTGAGGAAAAATTCATTGAAAAAAATTATGCCACGTTTTTTGTTCGATCAAACTTCTTATCAGTATTTCGGGATTTCTCATTGTTCTCTCTCGAAAATTTGCAATTGGGCATGATTATCTTGTCAACAAAGCTACACGCCTTTTTCTCGCGCTTGTGTATAAATAGACGATGACAATTTTGTTGGATTAGTTCAATTTTATCACTCGTTGTATTATAATCGCGCGGGGCAGTACGGAGCGCTACATGCAGTTGATAAAAAGAGTAGGAAAAATATAATCACCCCGTCGAGCATTGAATTTTAGCACCATGAGGCTTTCGCTTGGAATTTTTCTTCTGGTGTCTGCGTTGAGTTTGACGCATGCAAGTAAGTTTATTAATAAAACTAGACTCGTGTACTTACATTTTGTTGAATTATTAATGTAATTACAATAATAATGTTTACGTTAAACTCAGATATCATCGAGGACATTGCGAATTGGCCATTCTCTTATTTTCGAAACTACAATTGCTCTCAATCAGTGAAAGACGAAAAATTCTCGATTCAATTCAGATTCATTAACAGCTCCGATAGTGTAAAAAATGAGTCTTGTTTTGACACCCCGATAAATGTGGAAAACATAACAAATTTCGATCCGAGACGCGAGACAAAAGTGATGTTGAATCCGTACTTTCACAAAGTGGACATACCCGTGCTCAAAGAGATGAAATCATTATTCTCGAACTGGGTAATTACTTTAAATTTCCAACTGGTTTTTTTGAATCCGAAAAAAGTAATCTATTTTTCAATTTCTCTCTTCAAGCCCGAATTGAATATCATCATGATAGATTGGACCGCTGGCGGAGTACGCTTCAATTACGAACAAGCAGCTTTCAATACAATTTCTGCAGCTGAACAGGTTCAAAGGTATCACTTCACAGTTTTTGAAAAATCATAAATTTCGAGTAAAAATATTAAAACCTCTTTGATCCCTCGTCTTAGCACATTCGCTGATCTCATCGCCTACTGGGAAAAGCAAGGTGTCGACCGCGAAGAGTGGGGCCCTGTACACTTCCTCGGCATTAGTCTTGCCGCCCACGTGTCCGGTCAAGCGGCCCGATTGCTTCAGCGCAACCACAACTTCACGATCGCACGCATCACCGGACTGGACCCCGCCGAGCCCTGCTTCGAGCCCGGGGAAAACTTCTGGTCGCTGCGACTGACCAGGCAAGACGCCGACTTCGTTGACATTATACACTCGGACGCGAGTGAGAAGCACAGTGGCGGCTTTGGCATGCGCGAAGCCATCGGTGAGTAAACGTGCCCGATAAAATGATTGGTCATCGTTTATATTTTGCAAAATCTGTCTGAGACATTGAAATTTTTGATCGATTATTAGGACACGTCGATTTTTATCTCGACGGTGGCAATTCAGAGGGAGATTGCAGCCAAGATAAAAACAAAAATAAAAGAGGATTCTTCAAGTCTTACATCAATTATCCCAGGCTGACTTATCACGGTGAGTAAACATTACTATATAAGCTTCACAGGTGGCATACAGATGGCCTAAGGAAAACGAAATAAAACTAGATCATGACGTATTCGAGCACGTGTTGCTGTACAAATATATACAATTGCCATGCTCGTCGATACACGTGCTTACTTCTTTTTCTTCTTCTTCGTTTCTGTGCAGCCTTGGTCGAGGGTGGCTTTTGTCGTCACATGCGCGCGGCCAATGTTTTCGTCGAGTCACTGAAGAACGACCAGCTGCGCACAGTCCGGCCGGACTGCCAATACTGGGGCGTGCCTTGGGGCCTCGAGCACAACGCCAGCGAGACCGAGCGGGCCATCCAGGCCATCGACGACTGCACGCGCGAAACATGCCCGGAAGTCGGTATCAATTCGGAGCGATTTTTCCAAGACGACGAGAAAAACTTGAGGGTGGCGAGGAACGAGAGCGTCGTGTATTACGTGTCTCTGCGAAACAGATCGGACACATGCGTGAAATACTTTTCGAACGCTTTTCACGGCGTATACTCGAACCATCAACTGGAAATAGGTGCGGTTGACACGACCAAGGAGTTTTTGCTGGATTTCGGTCGAATAGCTGCAGACCAGATTAGCAATTATTTGAGTTCTTTCGTCTAGAACAGAAAAACGTTTAATTACGAAATAGGCAAATTTAGGCATTTAATTGTAGTAAATTTATTACGATATTGTATTATAAGATATTACAATTTTGTATACACTTTAAGATAGCAAATAAATTTAATATTTTTTTAATGTTTCGTCTTCAATTTTGTACTACGCACAGTCAAATGAATGAGAAAAACGAGGTGATTATAGCCACTGACGTATATGAATACAAAGCTTATGTATATCAAAGAATGAACAGTCTGCGTGGCACGAGCCGTAACATAGTCGAATCGATCAAGCGATTAATTCGTCGCGTCGCGTGCGTGCCTCGATAAGAACGGTAAAAGAGTGCGTCGATTGATCGACAAAAGAGGAAAAAAAAATAATAATTAAAAGATCCCACTACGCAACGATTACAAACGATGGGTTGTTGCCGCTGCAGTGCTTCCCGTGTATAGGCAGGCTCAAATAGCTCCCCTATATGTGGCCTAAACAATTTACAAATAACCACCGTCAATATATAAAGGTTATAAGCCCGCCTGTTGCTCTCATTGCTATATATACTATACAAGCCATGCACGTATAGCACTACGTATATAATGAGGCGGGCACACGCTGATGCATTAGTGCAGAGAGGTATATACAGTGGGGCACGGGGGGGCCAAAGGGTTTTCACCTAAATTGCATTATCTTCAAACGCCGTATAGCGGAGTACGCATGTTCCACATACACACACACACACTCTCTCTCTCGAGCCAGGCAGGAAAATCCATGGTTATAATTGCCATTAGAGAGGGAGAGAGGCTGTAGCGTGGCTTTTTCCTTTCTGTATACTGGTCGATTACGGCGCAAGCACGAGCGAGCCTTGGGGCCTTTTTGATAGTAGGCTATAGTTCCGCCTCTCTTTCTCTCTTTTGTCATCATCGAGTCCATTATCGCTCCAGCAATGGCTATTATATACCTTGCTTGTCCGCTCTGTATCTCACCGGAGTAACTACTTTTTCTTCTCTTTTTTTTTCCTTCTCTGATAAATCGAGATCGCCCGCGATAGTATACAGCCGCAGTGTATACGTACACACGACGTAAAAAGGAGAGAGAAAGAGAGACAGACGGCGAGCTTCGTCGTTGGAAAGCTTTTCCGAAATTTCATTATTTTTCATCTTTGAGCGTCTATTGGATGAGAAATAATGGAGGCCTTGTTTGTGCGGCAAACTGATTTCTGTTCTCTCGACAATTTTTCCCTCTTTCTCGTGATATATAAATAGATAAAGCAAAAACTTAAAACTTTCAGATTTCTGTCTTATCTCTATTAGCGAATTCGATTGATTTATTAAACAGTTGACGTGTGCGCTAATGCTCGTGAACTAATATTTACAATAAACGAAGTTCAAATTGAATGACGGCGGAATACGATGTGTGTAACTGAAAAAGAGCAACATTGAAATAAAATCGAGCTAATTGCTCGCTTCTCAATCAAGAAGCCAAGTAAACGGCAAAAGTACTTGATACGTGCCAGAGCAGAGACTGTCGAGATATCTAGAGTCGAGCACTTTGGGAAGATAAAATCAAGCGTCTGACAGACGACGAGAAAGATGTAAGAGATGGATAAAACGTGCAAAAGCTCTTGAACGCGCGAGGGTGGATCGCTGCACCTCCAAGGATTAATTTTTATTTCAGACTCGAGCGCATACTAGAAATTCGGCACCTTAATAGAAAAGTTTTATCGTCTTCGGAATTTCGACCAAGATCAAGAATCGAGTACGATAGATAATAGATAAGCGGCGTTAGCAAATACAGTTGTATTTAACGGAGATATAAATACTTGTATTGACATTAATAAATACAGATTTAGCATACATAAATACATAAATCACTCGTCGATGCGTCGGTGGGGGTCCTCCTACGCTCGACTATTTTCACTCTGAGCACCTTTAGATTTAATTTTTCTGCTGCTGCTGCTGTTACTGCTGCGCGTGGGATCTATTTGTATTGCTCAACGTCGTACGAACGTATATAAAATATATAAAAGCGACGCCATCTCGAACCTCGGGCACTCTAATCGAGAAAAAAACGTGTATCATATTTGTATCATTATACATATATGCGCTTATATAAAGGTAGCAAATTGATCGGTCGACTTTTGAAACGGCTCGTTACGCTCGTAGTCGTCATCAACGCTCGAGAGTGTATCATAAACTTCAGGCTGAAAAATATATCTTCGCGAGCCTATGTATAAAAAAAAAGGAGGAGAAGAAGAAGAAGTAGCAGAAGAAAAGGAAGACGAGGAGTAAGAGTGTAGCTTTACGCGTTGTCCGCGCGTATACACCGAAGAGAGTACTTATAGGTATAATATACTCGTTTGTAGGAGCGCTTGCGGAGCTTGCGCGGAGCTTGGCAAGAGCTAGAGAGCAAATTTGGGGAGCGAAATGAAAGATGAGCGCGCACGCGGTGGCTCATACAGTAGCAGCAGCAGCAGCAGCAGCAGCAGTAGTGTAGTAGCGGTGGCAGTGGTAGTAGCAGCGGCGGCAGAGGCAGCGGCAGATCTCTTTCTCTCGCATATACAGTACGTAGCGTATAGAGAGACTCACTAGCTCGCCCTCGATCGATAACGCACAAGTAGTGATGCTGCCGCTGCTACTGCCACTCGTGCTATATGTATTTGTCATGTGTACAACCGTACACAACAAGCAGCCCATAACACAATGCAACGAGCAAACGAGAGAGAGAAAGAAAGAGAGGCAGAGAGCTACTGCGCTACTTTGTCTTGAACGTTCTATGCGCGCGTGATTCTGTGGCTGCATCTCTGTATTTCTATTACAATAAAAAGCAGCGAGTTGCGGGGAAGGGATGATTGTTTAATATTAAGATGTTCATGCCAACACGAGATGCTTTTACATTCTCAGCTCTCTCTCTATCTCTCTCACTCCCTCTCGGAGTAGACATGCAGAGGCGAACTATGTAGTTGCGGAGCTTGCAAGCTCACCCACACACATTTGCACATATTGAGATAGAGCGCGGGAGGGCTATTGTTCTTTCTTTCTCGGCTTTTACATTTTCGATCGATGCTCTTCCGCCGATTGAATCTAAAGTATACCCCCGAACGGAGCATCGATTCTTCTGCTCTCTACCCCCCTCTCCCTTTTTCCCTTAATTACTCGGCTGAAAAGTTTCCATTGTAATTTTGCACGCTGCTGGGAAAGTAACGCGCGCGAGTTGACAAACTTTTCCCATCGTTTATCAGCTTTCGTTTTATATACGAGCTTGGTGAAGCTGCACTCGTCGTTACGTCGAGGGTAAATTTGCCCAAACGAGCCCATAGCTGCAGGGCAAAACACATTTATACCGCGTAATATAAAACAGTATTAAGGTGAGAGCGGGAGAAAATTTTATACGTTTACACGCAGACGGCCAAGTGGTAATATATAATTAACCGGATGATAATTTAGCCCAGCTTGACAATTTCATTTGGCTATTTAATTGATATATATCTAACGGAGAGAACTCGCGGCTGGCTGCAACCCCCGCAAGTCGAATCGGGGGGCTTTTTTTGCACGGCCCGCTGATAAATGAGAGGGTTTCAAATTTTGCGTACTTCTAATTAAATGAGCGCAGCGTTCGAGATTTATATCGCGAGAGTCTGCGAAAAATTCGAAACCATAAAGTTTCAATCGTATCGGTATCAAAGTGTATATCCGATGAAATAAAGCTTATTAAAATTCCGCAAGGCAGTCGAATAAAATCGCTTTATCCGCGTACGCATAGGGCATACTTGCACGTGTAGCAGTACTCGTAAAAAAGGGCTGAAAATAGCTCCTTCGTCGCGTACAGCAGTTAAAGAGCGTCAGAAATTAGATCGACTTATTATTCTCGAAGGAAAGTATACGCGCGCGTGTGCATAATGTACGCGCGCGTATACGTAGGCGATATCGATTTCGATAAATCGATGATAAATGCGTCTGCGCGTCCTGTGTGTACGAGCAAATTTTCGCTTCATGTCTGAGTCACGTGTATCGGAATACCAAGTTTGCCGAGCAACGAGCGCGCGGACCCCGAGAGCGAGAGAGCAGAAAAGTCATTTCACGACCCTTCATTGTCATCCGCGTGCTTGGCTGCGCTCCGCGTTACGATCCATATACCACCATATACTATATACCCACTCATTTCTATATACCCCCTCGCACTGATGGAACTCGGAGATACTGTACTATATAGCGAGTCAGGAATCGCCAAAAGGGATATCTATATTTGTACAGGCATATTTAACTTTGCCGTGGGAGGCTGAAGTTTAATTTAACAAACTAGCCGCGATCCTTCAGCTCTTTGACCTGTTTTCATGGGATTAGTATTTTTTCATTCAAAGCTTAGCAATTCTTATTTTCTCTTTCATTAGAAAAATCAGTGTTGACATTCATCGAAAGCTGACTCTCTCACGCCGATGAATGTCGTGTAATAAAATTTGACACCCAACCCAGTTTTATTTGTCAAAGGGAAGCGATTGTTTTCAGAGTGGAAAAATCCGCAGTATTAGCAAGCCGTGGATCTTTTTTACTGGTAGCGTGCACCAACGCGAAAGAGATCGCGAGAGTCAGCTACCACTCGACCAAATCATCCATCTCTCCCTTTATCGTTCGAAACGAGCTCGTTTCCAAAAGCTGTCCGGTATCCAAAGGACTACGGGACGAGCCGCGATCATCGCCTTGGACGTCTTAGTTTGGAGCTTATCCGCGTAGAGGAGCAAGCTCCGCCCGGGCGCGATCCGGGCTCGGACATCATTGGCCAGGCGTTATCGATGCGTCGCGCCAATCGTCGCGAGTACGCGCGCGCGCGCACCCACACACACACACGGATTCACGCTCTCGCCCTCTCCGTCTCGCTCTAGCACCCACGCCGCAGCAGCAGCCGCCACCGCTGTACTGCTGGCGCCGCCGTTTTCCGCCGCAAGCCCGAGTCGTCGTCGTCGTCGCCGTCGCGCGCGCTCCCGCCCGAGGACACCCGAGAGAAAAAGACAGCTACTGCTACGGTGGCTGCTGCTGTGCGCGCAGGGGTTGAGCGGCTCGTAACAGCGAGCCAGCGGAGCAGAGGCCCCGCGCTGCTTGCCCCCGATACCCGCGTGACATTCATATATATTGGTGAGTGGTATCAATTCGACAGCGGACCATTTCGCTTTCGCGCTTTTCAGTTTTTACGAGCTTGTTTTTATTGTTTTGTTTTGTTTTGTGCTGCTGGTGCTACTGGTGCTTGGTGTCCGTACCATGTGACCGCGGTCACGATCTCGACCAGTGAACGAAGTCTTATTTATGGTCTTATTTGGAAAGAGAGGCTGAAAAAAATGTATATTCATCGTTGTCAGTGCGTGGAGAGGTGTGCGAGTTCGTCGAGTGCGTTTGCTGCCTGTTTTTTCTGCGTGAGCTTTTTTTGAATAGAAACTGAGAGAGGTCGTTCGAACGTGCGCGAACGCGCGCGACCAAGGGTAAAAAAATCCAGTGATACATTCGAGTGTCCACGGGGATTTAATGCATTTTTAGTTTATTCACGAAATTACTTTTTACGACTGCTTGAAAAAAATTTGTAATATTTGTTCATGCAGTCGAGCAAATGTGTGCTCGTGTTTTTCAAGTTTTAATAAGTTTCAGAGTGAATTTGAGGAACGAAATGTGCATGACTAATACGATATAGGATTGTGCAGCGATGTGTAATTTTTTCCAAGTCATGCGTCACACGAGCGTAAGAGGGATGATTTGGCAGCGGTCGAGTCTCTCTATTTTCTTCAAATTCTCAATGGCCTAATTTCTTCTTCGTTTTTTTTTTCGCTGCGAAAAACTTGCTTTAGTCGATAATTTATCTTGTCGTTGTGAGAAAATTTTAATTTCAAAAGAACGAAAAGTTTGCTCGTTCGTGTATCAATCGTATAAAACGCGTTCGATAACTTTGATTAAAGGTATCGATGTGGAGCTGTCTTTTTTTTTTTCATCAAAGTTCGAAAGAAAAATAACGAGTGAAATTAGAGACAGAGATCAGTGCCAACGAGCAGTCGTTCGAAAATCGATACAGCAACAACAAAGTGAAAAGTGCAGAAAAAGTATATAAAGCTCGGTGATTGAAATAATGAGCAGGCAACGTTTTAAGCGACAGAGTTAAAGTTTTCGTACGACAGGAATGTGCTTGTTTGGTTCTCTCTCTCGCTCTCGGAACGATATAGGCGGTTTCACCCATTTCCGAGCCCTGACCTCGATTTTTCGGGATAAAAGCTATTTTACGCAACCCCATTTCTGGTCACGTATACACACATGCTCGAGTCAAGTTCCTTAGGTACACAGACGCGTACTCGTATTCGCCCACACGCGTCCGCCTATCATTTACGCACGCACGTAAACCCATAAGAATATATAAGGTGGGGAAGCCGTGAGTCCTCAAGAATCTTCGAGCTTTCGGAGTAAAATCGAGATATGAACGAAAAAAAAAAAAAAATAAAGCAAAGAGAGAAGCAAAAAAAGAAAAAATCGATTATCTGTGTAAAGCTCTCGGCGCGCGAGTGTGTATGCACGTATATAATACTCGAGAGCGCGATCGACATGCGCGTCCATCGTTTTGCACTTTTCGCGGGCTGGCGCGCGCGCGTCTCAATTATAATATATGCCAGGCAGAGGCAGCCAACGATGTGGATGACACTCGGTGTCAAGCCCTCATACACACACACACATATATGCATAGCGGCTGCTCTCCACTCGATTTCCTTTTGGCCGGCGCTGATCCGTCACTCGAGAGAACGTATAGTTGGTCGATGCGATTGCCAATCTCTTCTGCAGCAAGTATAAGGCAACAAATTTGCCCGCAAGCTCGAGGCTTACTTTTAGCCATTATTATTTTCGATCGTTAGCGCATAGACGCGGCCCCCGATCACACACAGAGGAGCTCTTTCCCCGATATTTGCTAATATATATCCGCGCTGACTATTGTGGTAATTGCACATCTAGGTATTACAGTCGGTCGTCGCGAGATTACAATTGTTGCATCACGCGCCGCGACACAGCCAGTATAGGGAGGATTGCAGTGCGCGCGTGCATAAGCGCTCACATATCGCGTATACAGCCAGTCGGTATACGCGACGCGCTTTATGTAATTCACGTGAGATACACGCGATTTATAGAATTTCGTATATAATCTGGGTAACGATAAACGGGAATACGTTTGTGCCGTAAACAACGCGTACAGAATTAGGTGGATTCGAGCGCGCGCGCGTGCATACGCGATCTGCATTATATAATTTTGGACTCGTCTGCGCTGCCTCCAGCTCTCCTCGCTCGTCCGTAGCTTTATCACAAATGCGTTCTAAACTCTTCCTTCGACTTTCGAATCATGTTCCCGACTCTTTTGAGCTTTTCTCGCGAGCTGATCGATTTCGCCAAAGAGCCCGCGTTTGCTTGCAACTGCGGGTATCGCATTTTCGGGGAGAAAAAGATTCGACTTTTGCGTATCGCGTCTTGCCTGTGCCCCACGAGCGGCGGCGACGCTTATATTGACGAGATCTTCTCTCGCTGCTGCACGCACGGCACGCGTGAATGGAACGGCATTATGTACTACAACGGAAGTAAGCATCAAAGAGCGGAGAAATACCAGGAGGGCTGCGTACAGGGATGACGACACGAACTATAGCGCCAGTTTTATCCGCGTATTCTTCAATGGGTGCATGAAAAGCCGGAGGGAGCCGAGCCAGAGCCCGCTCGTATAATACACTTAGGCGCTTACGCGGCTCGACGGAAGAATCTGTGCGAGACGAAGCGTGTAGTGGTATACAGCCGACGAGTGAGTCAATAGGATAATCGCTGCATCAGCGCGACACACGAGGCGCACATAGACAGACGTGCAAAATCCGACCACCCTATCTTCTTTCGCCGTGTGTAAAATGAACGAAAAAGAAAAGGGTGCAGGCGAGAGCTATTGTCGCGGCCAGTTCTACGCGCGTTCGGTCTTGCAGCTAGGAAACGCGAGGCTTGTCCCTCGCGATACATATAGATGTATTGTACCTATACGAGGAAGCTCGAGAGCCGCGAGCAAACACCGCGTCTCGGCTGCTCTCTGTACATATATGTGGGGCATGTCCCTCTCGCCTTCCATTTCTCTCTTTTTTTCCTTCTCTTCCTTTGGGGGACACGGGCTTTTATCGCTCCACGATTACTTTCGACGAGAAAAAAAAGAGCGAGATATCGAGCCTTATCGCCTTCTTATATACTCTCTTCGGCGCACAAAAGCTTTAAGGCGAGCTGCGGCCGCTCGCGCGACCGGGAGAAAAAGACCGAGAGAGAGAAAGAGAGAAAGAACGACAGCTAGAAAACCGTGAGCTTTTCAATGCGGAGCGAATAGCAAAAGAATGGGTTTGCCAGGGTTTGCGTGCCGTGATGTTTGCGATCCGAGCTCTCTCGGTGCAGCGCGAGATAAGACAAAGTGATCGCGGGGGTGTAGAGATGCGATTTTTTTTTTATTCGAGTGCATAGTATGTCGAGCGTTTAGTGTGTGTGTGTGTGTGTGTGTGCATGTTTGCATGTGTGCGAGGTGCGTCTATTCTCTCGGGAGTCGCTCGCTCGAAGGATACCTTAGAGAGATTGAAATGTATACGCACTCGATGCTTTTTGCTGAATGAATTACTTTAGCGGATTCAGCGCTGTTTGCGGGCTTTATTTTTAATTTATTTAAGTTTCGAAACGGAATCGAGAGAAAAAGAACGTACAAAAGAAAACGTGAGGTATCAGGTGAAACGTATATACATTTTATATTTTGATTGATTCGCAGGGGCTGCTGCTGCATCGTGACAACAAAAAAGTAAACACACACACACACAATCATCACGAGCTGCGCACAAGAACCAGAGCCCAATAATTGAAAAATGTCCGGAATCGCGAGTACGGGTCTTGCGGTATTCGAATCCCTCAAGAGCAAGGCTTCGGAAAAACTCGCAGGGTAAGTCTATTGAATTCTCATCCTCTTTCGCTCTTGCCGCGCTTCTTCTTCTCCTTTTTTTCTGTTTTCATTTTACTTGCGAAATCACATTGTATTCGGTATATACGTGTGCGTACACGTATATATTACGGGGACGGGGAAAAAACCGAAGAAGAGCTTCTAATGCTGTGTACACGAATGTTTTTTCCTACGTTGAAAGGATTCGCTGTATAAATTTACGCACGTCGATGTTTCGTGCACAATTTTCTTGCGTAATAATTTGAATTTCTCGTCTTTTGTTATATTCATACGCAGTGGATGTAGTATACAGCTCGAATTCGTGAAGCTGCGAAATGTATCTCGTACATAATTTTTCACTTGGGTACGAGGTAAAATAGTTTTATTATACGCGAAATAAACTCAGAAAATAGTCGTGAAAAGGAAGGATCCCCAAATCTCTCAAATCCCTTGCGAACATTCTTTTATATCACTGAAAAATAGCCTTTAGAATCGGTAAAGCTCAGCGAAATAAAAGAAGAAGAAAATCAGAACGATCGCATAAACGTTTTTGTCACGGACACAGGCTAAAGCGTGGCGGCGACGGTGGCTACATCGGTGGTGGCGGCAACACAGGTTACGAGGAGTTCGACCCGGATGGCCAGGTCAACAGGGACATCGGTGGCGGGGGCGGCGGCGGCGGCTACGAGGATGACCGGGGCGCGGCCTACAGGAAGCAGCTGTCGCTCGACTCTTTGCCGGAACCCGAGCGACCGCCTCTGCGACACATCGACACTTACTGCAAGCCCGAGTGTCCCTGCTTGTCCAAGAGGTACACCATCGCCTTGCTGGCTTGTGTTGGTAAGTTGATACGCGAATCAAAGACTCGATCGCTGTACACTCGCCAAATACATAACTCGTGTCGGCTCGTGTTTAGGTTTCATAATTTCGTTCGGCATGAGATGCAACATGGGCATGGCCAAGCTGAAAATGAGCAACGACTCGGACAACGTGTTCAACTGGACGGTGGCGACCCAGAGCGCCGTCGACTCGTCCTTCTTCTGGGGCTACCTGGTGACGCAGGTGCCGGGCGGCTTCCTCGCCTCCCTCTACCCGGCCAATCGGATCTTCGGCATGGCGATCGTGACGTCGTCGTTCCTGAATCTGCTGGTGCCCGGGGCGATCAGCATGCACCCGGTGGTCTACATGTTCGTGCAGGTCTGCAAGGGCCTCGTGGAGGGCGTCACGTATCCGGCCTGCCACGGCATCTGGAAGTTCTGGGCGCCGCCGCTGGAGCGATCCCGACTGGCCACGCTGGCCTTCTGCGGCTCGTACGCGGCCGTCGTCATCGGCATGCCGCTCTCGGGCGTGCTCAGCAGCGTCTTCGGCTGGACCGCCTCCTTCTACTTCTACGGCATATTCGGCCTGATCTGGTACTGCTTCTGGCTGTGGCTGTCGTTCGAGAAGCCCTCCAAGCACCCGAGCATCTCGGCCCGCGAGCTGCGCTACATCGAGGACTCGCTCGGCTCGTCGCAGACGAACCTGCCGATGCCGACGTTCGCCACGACGCCCTGGCGGGCCTTCTCCACCTCGATGCCCGTCTACGCCATCATCGTGGCCAACTTCTGCCGCTCGTGGAACTTTTACCTGCTGGTGCTCTTCCAGGCGCGCTTCATGCACGAGGCCTTCGACATGCCCGTGGTCGAGACGGGCTTCCTCGGCTCGCTGCCCCATCTGCTCATGACCCTGATCGTGCCCTGCGGCGGTCTGCTGGCCGATTACCTGCGCAAGAGCGGCACCATGACCACCACCAACGTGCGCAAGCTCTTCAACTGCGGCGGCTTCGGCATGGAGGCCCTGTTCTTCCTCGTCGTGGCCAACTGCACGACCCATCGCAACGGCGCCGCCGCCACCACGGCCCTGACCATCGGCGTCGCCTGCAGCGGCTTCGCCATCTCCGGCTTCAACGTCAATCACCTGGACATAGCGCCGCGCTACGCCAGCATACTCATGGGCATGTCCAACGGCATCGGCACCATCGCCGGCCTCTTCGTGCCGATCTTCGTGGACAACATCACGCGCAACAAGGACCCCGAGAGCTGGCGCAACGTCTTCATCATGGCCGCCTGCGTGCACTTCGTCGGCGTCACCTTCTACGCGATATTCTGCTCGGGCGAGCTGCAGCCCTGGGCCGATCCGACCGCCGAGGAGAAGGCCGCCTGGAATCCGCTCGACGAACTCGGCCAGACCAAGCCACCGGTGCCGCCACCGCCGCAGATCATGCAGACCCAATTCATGGTAAGCCTCCGCTACGTATTTCTTATCTATGTTCATCAGCTGGTGCTATATTCCATTATTCGTACGATTGAATTTGCAGAGACAGCCGTCGGGCGAGAACCAAGCGATGGGCGGCTACAATCAATACGGGGATCAGCAGCAAGTGCCCTCGTACCAGCAAGCCGCCGGCACGTATCAGCAGGCACCGGCCTATCAGCAGGCGATGGCCGGCAGCGAGTATCAGCAGCAGCACGAGCCGATGATGAGCAATCAGGCGGCGGCCATGAGCTACGGCGCCACCGACGGCAGCGTCAATCCCTTCGTCGCGGCTGCCGCCGCTGCCCCACCGGTCCCCTCGACGAATCCCTTCGCCAGTGGCGCCATGAGCGCCTCCTACGTGCAGCCCGCCGCCAGGGACGATTACAGTCACGACGTCGTACAGCAGTCTCAGCAGCAGTGGCAGCAGTGAGCGTCGCCGTCGTCGCCGAAGCACGACGATCATGCGAAAGAGTAAGACTGGTAATCTGGGCCAAGGCTTTCTTAATTAATATGTATTTCGATTCAGCTCTTAAATTTATCGCCGGCTGGCTTATGAAGATTCGATTTTATTTTTTCGATCGAAAGGCTTCGATTTCAATGTAGTTGTTGTACGTTGAATCTATTGTCTATAATGTTATTGCGTGGAATTGATTTCGGTTGGATTTGACGCGCAGAAGCCCATGATTTTGAGAATTCGTATCAGGAGGAATAGATCGTTAGGAAAAAATAATCATAAAATAAAAGTTATATTACAATAAAAAAGCTATAAAACAAATTAATACATATCGAGTGCGGGAGCTTAATCGAGTGGACAGTAAAAAATAGGCATTTAATAAAATTTTTGCGTGTATCGTCTCCTCCTTTCACGAATTAAGTCAATATAAATTTTCATATGACATCCAATACATATATATTAGTAACTTAGTCCAGATTACTACTATACTTCATAATCGTCTAGGGATCAGTCGAGCAGCTGGTCTATACACGAAAAAGTTGATAGCTTTATAGGGAGAGATTATTTAATTGAAACGAAGAGATATTTACAATTTTATTGTATTTGCCTGGTGCAGTACCTATGAAAAAAAATAGGCAGAGTTCAGAGCTGCTGAAATCATAAAAAAAAATATGCTTGTGAATTACAAATGTTTAGGTTGCTAATTTCAAAGCTATAAATGCATAAAGTATGTGCGAGAGATAACGATTCAAAGAGAAGAATATTTTTTGTACTAGTATTATAGCCATGTTTTTGATGGCTAGCATAATTGAACAAACGAGAGAAAAATACACTCGAAACTATTGAAAGTCATTATTGACACGATGAAAGTATAATAGATTGGTAGTTAACTCGAAAAGTATAACAAACATTGAAAGTATCTATAAACGACAAGAGCGTTTTGTCTTTTGCATTTCGATCGAACGTTTTTTAATTAATCAATTGGCAAGATTGCTTTTTATACTTATACTTTTAATGATTCTATGACAATATAAATGAAAGTAAAACCAAGTGCTCCAAACGACAAACAGTCATCGGTACAATAATATTTTGGATATAGATAGACAATTTCCAAAAAAATAAGTAAATAAAATTGACAATATACAGATTGCACTTTTTAAAAATAGCACATCACAATTAACGAAAAATGGAACAAAAATAGACCGCTGATCAAACAATTTTGAAATAAAACTTTAAATGACAATATTATATTCTGGCCAAAAAAATTACTAACTGAAAGTATTATTCACATAAACAACAGTTTGATGGCAGTGTATACGACGATGCCTATAAACATCCAAAACACTTTTGTACGACGATTATATATTATATTGAACAATAACCTGACTAACAAAATCAAAATATTATACGGCCTTTTTGATGGGAGGGTGTGGGTCGACAATAAATGCACTTATGAATAGTATGCACCGTCACATCTGGAATCAACATTTTTGCATAATGGAATTTTGAGGAAAAAATTTTAATCGATAATATTTCGGCAACAATTTCGAAAATATAAAGACAATAAAACAAATCGCATGTGAAGTAATTATAGCCTACACTAAGAAGATCAAAGGCAGAGCCGTTTGCTGCCACTTTTAATGTAAAATTTTTCTTTGATGAGAATAACAAAATCTATTGCACGATACAAGAAAATTTTAGCAATAAAAAAAGGCATTTTAGGGACATGACAGGAAACTCGGGAGCATAAACGTTGCACATTCGAAAATTTTGGTAAATTTTTGAACGAAAAAGTTAAAAATTCACTCATATTATCGTGAAAAATAATAGGTACTTTGAATTAATGGAAAGCCCTGACAATAATTACCATTTCAAGGGTGAGTTCAAATATAATATATTGCATTTCTTCTATAAACTATAGATGGACAATTTTTGATGAACATCTTTGTGGTTTTACCTTGAAAAAATTTTTGACGTTTTCTAAAACGTTCTTAAATTTATCCGATAAAAATAAACGTTGAAAGTGTTATTTAAACGTAAAAGATAAGAGATTATTTATTAGAAAAAATAAAAATTTATTAAACTTATAATTTAAAAATTTTACGTGAAAGGTGTTAATGTTTAGTCTGTTGTGATTAAACCATCTTTTCAATTACATTTCTGAAATGAGATTATTATATATATATCAAAGGAATATAAATCGAGTTATTAAAAATGAAATATTTAAAAAACTACATAAACTGACGCTATCTCAAAATCGTGAAAGTACTTACCTTACAGAGAAAGTATTAAACGTGATCTATTTCGAGTTGAATTCGATATATAAAAAATATACATATATTAATATATATAAACGAACGATGTAGATTTACGCGAATGAAAGTATATAGTATAATGAGGAAAGCTCAAGGAATAAAATTTTTTTGGAAACCACACTTGTTGTTTGAATTTGGGATATTGTACAACGTAAGTGACGATGGAAAAAATAAGTAAAAAATCTAATACTTACGAATTTAGTCAATTTATGCGAGACCTTTTTCATGAAAAAAAATTAATATATGTCTCCTAAGATCGAATATTTATAACTAAAGCATCGATAATACGATTAAATGTTTCCAAGTAAAGTGAATAATTTATCGGCAAAAACCATAAATTAATAATGAACACAGCATGATGAAAATAGTATCGTGGAAAAAATCTTGCATTAACGGTATAGTTTATAGTACATACGCGAAAACGCAAGCTTTGTAGACCAATTTAATCTATTATTTATCTGCTATCAATATCATAACCAAGTTGTTAAACAGAAATTATTATTATTTCTAAAAAAACGTTTAAGGTTTACAAAAATAAATTTTTTTTAAAACCTGGTGGTTCAATTTTTAAGCCTTATGAAAGACAACATATTCACATTTTAAAACATTGCTATTATTTTTACTTTGCACTTGAAAGTCTAATCAATATATTTTTAATGTAAATACGGGGGTAAATTGAACAAAAATCTTCTATGAATATATATTATATTGTATACATATAAAAATACTTATTAAAAATGAACGGATATATTGAATTATATTTGAGTATTTTTATGTAATCGCGATTTCTTTGCATTGTTAAAACTCATGTATAATTATAAATTGATCAAGTTCCTTTGTCCAATGTACGAACATTGATACGTTTTATTCTCATAAAAGAGTGTTGTAATGTTTACGAGCTACCATGATTATAGTTTAAGATTTATTAGATAAATATAAATATAAATGCATATAATATTTAAGTATGTTACTCATTTGTCAAAACGAGGAACAAAAGTCGCTTCAATTTTTCATTAAATTTGCCTGATTCTTGCATAAATGAATCGTACCAATTACTCTAAAAAAGAAAAAAATTATAATATTTGAGATCTTGTTTCTCGTTGTACTATTTTGAAATTGTACCATGAGTGTGTACTTATCCTTGCATGGAAGTAGTGACTGGCCTAATAAGTTAATATCACGATGTGTGTCAAGGGATGCGACATAGGAATACGCGATTGAAAGTAAGATTTCAATAAAAGAGGTTGCATTATAAAAAAACACCGAAGAGGCCATTTTTTCAAGCATTTAGTAATTTGCTGAACTTGAATTGAAACTTATTGACGCTATTTTACATAGTAGTGCATGACTTTTCATTCGTGTAGTATACCGTTCATTGAAATGTTTATTTTCAAGCACTTGACACCTTCGGAATCCGTTAAAAAAGACGATGATAATAATCCCAAAAAGTGTAATCAAAAAAATATATATTATATATAAATTAAATTCTTTAAACTTGAAAAATTTCTCGAAACATGCGATTTTCCAAGTTTAAAATGTGAAAAAAACAATATACAATATTATTCTGGACAAACCAACATGAAAAAATGTTACCGTGTGTAACATCTAGGCTAAGTTCAAATGCTGTCGAACAATAATTCCGAGATATTTATATAAATATATAAACGAAAAAATGCAAAATATATTATGTATAATAAACTAATCCTTTAAATAATAAAATAAATAAAGCTCCAGTAAAAATTCGTGACAATAAACGTTTAAACAGACATGACAAGTCGAAACAATTATCAGGCGCTGTGAAAACTCATAATGCATACGTAAACATCGTCGATTGATCGATGTTTTTTTTGGTTTTTTACGTATCGCAATGCATTTGTGATACGAAGTAAAAACAAAAAAATTGTGAACATCGGCGACCATCGTATTTTTACCGTTGATTCTTAATAATGCACTTGTAAAAGTATTACGTAGCTATTAACTAGCTCGCATGATTTTTTGTCATATTAATATAAAAGTTATACTGCTCAATTTAAATTTTGCTTTTGCAGAATTGGAATAGTTTTTGTAAAATACTTACGTGAAAATTATCATCTACATTTAATCTTATGATTTTAATGAAATTTTGTATTGAGATTTTTTTAATTTTGATTCTAAATTCGACGAAACTAGACTTTCAGACTTTGTAGTTTATTGTAAATATCAATAACATGTAGTAACAATTAATGTTGATCAAGTAATGGGTTTGAACATTTCATAAGCTCCAAAATCCGTTTAAGTGTATAAACATAATGTGACTTTGTTGTCATCTAAGTGTTTATCTCAGCTTTGTATGTATTTTAAATGTTACTTATTCTGTTGGTGGAGCAATATTAATGTAGGGAAATATTTTTATAAATGCGTTTAACACTGGGCATTAGAAAAATTTTTCATTAAGTTATAATAATGTATCGAATACTTATTTCTATTACTTAAACCCAATTGTATCCCTCAACATTAATAATTCGAGGGATTGTGAATGCTAAAAAAAGACTATAATAACAAAAATCACGTGGAATTCATTATTGATAATCTTACGATAAATAGTGTGTGATCGAATGGACAATATTGTATTTATCTATATACAAAATTGTGCTCTAAATAATAATGTATACATTCTTAGAAGCCCTAGCCTATAGCTTGCGCATACTTGAAACAAAAATTAATTGATAGACGATGGAATTTTTTGAATACTACTGATATAATCAAAGACATGCATTAATTTAATTTCAAGCACAGAGTATCAATTATTAAAATGACAATAAAGAAAGAAATTTAATGAATAAAAGCTGTATGTATAAAGATGTGAGCCTGTATGAACTTATTGTGCCGCGTAAAATAGTAACATTTAAATTTCTATTTTATCTTTTGATTTTATTACATAGCGTGAAGATATAAGTTATATTGTAAAAGTATTGTTGTAATATATTTTCCGTTTCGAAGAAAACTCTGTCTAAAAAATTTGAAAAAAATGTATACCTTTAATTCATCGGAACTGCCCTTTTACAAGGCTAGCCAATATTTAGAATTCATGAAAATCAAAGGATAAGAGCGTCGTAAATATATTTATTTTATTTCGGGTCAAAATAAGGCGATGAATGATTAGTAGTTTTGCTGCCCGAAAATATTGATATGAAAAATATTTTCCAACATTTTTGATTAAATATTACATTACTGTATATTAATTGACACGATGAAAAAATTTTAGCCTTTTTCTTTCATATTCAGATACTGCGACATATTTCTTGAGAAAATAACAGAGATGAATTTAAAAATCCTGAGACAAAATTGATAATGTAGATTAAACCCGACGGAAGGATAATAATAAATTACACTTTGAACGTCATACTTTTTCGCTCATGAGATAATATTATAAAGCATGAAAAAAAATTATGAAAGTATACGATTCGCGATCATATACATAATATTTATTCACCCAGATATTAAAAGAAATGCATAATTTATATCAATGTTGGGAGTAATGAAAAAAGAGACGATTGACAATGCATCGTGTAGAAATTATGGTTGAGCAACGATATATTATGGGAAACCTTCTCTTATTGCATCAAACACAAGTCAAGCGAAAGTATTATATTAATATTCGAAGAAAATAACCAGTAGCGCAGAAGATTCAATACAAAAAGTAGATAACAAAAAAAAAAAGAAGAAAACATTGATACCTTAAAAAAGAAAAAAAGAGATTCAAAAAGTTAAAACATTGTTACTTGCCGGTTATGTCTGGTTTGTTAATAATTATTACGTATTATCAATAATGTAAATTATGTATGTATATTATAACATGAATGTATTATGTATCAATAGTACAAGAATTATACCGATATGTAATGTGGACAATAAAGTGTCGGCGAATCTTTTCGAGCTATCGATTTTTTATTTTTCAAGTCAATATTCACAAAATAGAACGATTACGATTAATGCGTAGGCTCGTTCTTATAGCATTTCAGAAGTAACTCTCGTATTTGCCAAACACTTGCCACGTTCCAGAATGATCCTTTGGGGAAAAGTCGTTGAACGTATTACACACACGTGTGCGTTTCGGGAAAGCAATTCGAACGAACCTCGGAAAATGGCATCAGTTGACAATTGAAAAGGCACATTGGCTCGAGACTGCGCGGGAGTTTGCCCACATACACAGGTTGGTCGCTCGGTTATGTCGTGCGTGTAATGTGCATAATTTTGCCATATTGGCGAATCGCTGAAAGCACTTCATAATACATTGGCAATTATCATAAGCAGGATATATACTATACCGTAGCGCTTATGCATTTGTTTATGCGAAATGACCGAATGAAAGTCCAATGGTCGTCGTCTTGGTCGCATTACACGATTTAATCGTTTTACAATCATTAAAAACTGAGTATTATTGTCGCGGGCAATATACTCTTCCACTCTACATAATCGCAAAATCGCGACGCTCGCAATAGCGCGTCGTCAACTTTCCCGTATAGTGAAATTATTATCAAAGTCGAGCGCTGCGACAATCAGATGTATCGCGCAGATCTGGACATGCTCTCGCATGACATTGTTTCGAGCGGGATTAAAAAGCCCATCCGCACGTACATGTTTCGGAGTTATATTTTCATCCGACTCATATAGCGTATACGCGTTCAGTTTGAAATGACGCGCAGAAATCGCAGCCAAATTTTAAATGGACTGTGGCTGCGGCTATTCCATACGCCATATATATGTATACAACAGTCATCGCGGAAGAAAGTAAAAACCACTGGCTGCGTGTGTAAGAATGTACATGCTCATCCGTGTTGCGGCGTGGATGTGTATGGGTTGGTATCATAGCTGCCTCTTACCGCGCTCGCAAGCGCGCATACGTTTACGCGTGTGCTCGCTCACACATAAATGGCTCGCGTGTACCTGTATACGCGAGTTTTACTTTCTAAAGTTCCCTCTTACTCTCCTCTCGTTCACGTGCGTATGTGTCCACCACATGTGTGTGTGTGTATGTGCATTTGGCAGCAGAGTAGCGAGCAGCAGCGGCAGCCGGTCGCGAAACATCTCGCGCGCTCCGGCGTGTTAGTGTTACACTACGGTGGCGGCGACCGCGTTGGTCAGTCGAAATTTCGCGCTCCTTTGCTCGTCGTACGGCACACGTTTCCTTCGTATATAATAAATCGCGTTTTACATCGGTCAAATTTATGGTGCGAGTGAATCGATAACGAGGACAGAAAAAAAGCACGCGGCAGAAGCATCTGCGTAAAAAAGATCGTTTCCGATGTTATATCAGCGGCTTTTGACCCTGGGAGATGGACCCTACGGCTTCTGTCTTTTGTTGTCTACTGGTGTTTTTGTTGGCGATTCTTCACAAATCTGGTAAGTCTATCGAGCGGTATAATTTATTTTTTTCATTAATTAGACTAAGTTTGGACGAATAAAACCTTTGCGACAATTTTAGTTCAGGAAATTATTTCAAAAAGCGAAAGTATACGACTTGTTTTTAGACGAAACAATGAGCCAAAACTCAAGTTTCTTGTCGCGCGGAACTCAAGTGTGATTCGACGGGAGAAAGTTGCACGCGGGTCTGACTTCGATGCAAAGAAACCTCAATCCTTGTAATTTCTAAGTTTCGCGTATCTTCGGTTTGATATGTACTTAGCGATGAACCACGAGGCTATTCATTTTCTCGTGCACACGACCGGGTAATGTAAACAAAGTTTCCCTTGATCGCTAATTTTCTTACTCGCGATTGCCCATAGGATATCGGCAAAGGGAATGAATCGGATACATTTTTTGTTGACTCACGCCGCTGCACTCGAGGAAAAAAATTGTACACTCGAATCGTGTAAATAATGAAATTGACTTGTAAACATTTGTTTGGTTTCAATTTTAAAAGTTGTGACGGATGTGGTTGGAATTTTTTATATTCACTCGAATAAAAAACTCGTTTTTTTTAAGAAATTCATTGTAATTTTACGAAATAATTCAGAAGCGTGACAAGCTCTCTTAACTTCAGTGCAAGTTTAACAAATTTTTCTCAAAGATCAATAAACTGGTTTTACAACGCTGTATATCGTAGACCGGTCTTTCGCGCCTTCATTAAATTAGAAAAAATGTGAAACCATTATCCAAAATTATAGCCTTATTCCCAGTGTACACAGTGTTTTCTTGGACATATTTGTTAACGTGTAGATCGTTGCAGTAGCGTAAAAATGAGGAAACACCCTGTGACCGATATATTAGGCTTAAATTAAAAAATAATGCTTTTCCTCTCGTTGTCGATTATAGTTGAACGAATATATCCAGTATCTGCGTACATACGCGGGTCATTATGCAATATTATGTACACGCAGACGCACAGTTTGTCGAATGATATTAATTTTCTTCTCAGACGGCATAATATGAACGTGCTCTATACATTGTCGCAATCGATGCTCCCTAATGAGATATATTCCGCTCTGAAATCACGTACAAACTCGGCATACATTGTGAGCTTTTGTCATGCGATCACGCGAAAATTCGATAAAAGTTCAGTTTGTATTGACTTACGAAACTCGTGAGAGCATTTTTTTTTTTAATGATACATTGACTTTTACGATAATGGCTACTTTAGCCGCTCATCTCTCTGATATAATAAAAAAAAAAAATGCGAAACGAAAACGACATATCCACGTGATGTGCATTTACGTGTCATTACCTACAAAAACAATTCGTACGAAAGAATTGTTGTTGACGTTAAGAATACAATATTTTCGGGCAGCGAATAGGATGGATATTACGGGCAATTTTTCATTCCACCTGCACGGATCCGCGCGCGCAACCTTTCTCCAATTTTGAAGGAAGGTCGACGATCGCGCTCTCGGGGACTCCTACTCGGCGTACTTGAATGGAATTCGTCTTGTATACTGGTAGTCCTTGCTTTTACGTCAGGATCAATGCGAAGTACGCGCCTTGTATATTTCATTCGGCGATCCTTGCGAATATTTTTTTATTTCGATCGTTCGAAATTCGGATTTCGAGCGATTTTTACATAGACCATAAAACTATGAATTCGTGTTCCGATCGGCATTACACTTTTATTTTGAAATTGATTGTTGTAACACATCACGCATGCACAGTCGTATTACGCGCGCTGAAATAAGCGAATTGAAATGTGCTCGACTCGCGCACGTATATACTCATACGCATGTCAGCGATTCCGTAGAATCAACTTTCGCAAGGCGCAACGAATCATGAAAATTCCGTACAATAAAAAAAAAAGTTCTCCGACTCGACCGCACATACACACGTATGTGCTGTGCGCGCGTATGCATAATATGCATATACGCACATTGCCGAGTTATCGCCTGCGTCTGTGCCTACCGATCCAAGACGACTTGATCGGGTATTTTTTTTTTGTTCAATTTTATCCTGCAATTGCGCTGCATAGAGAGGAGAGGAAAAAACTTTTTCTTTTTTATAAATTATTTACGTTCTCGGTTGCGATACGATTTGCAAGACGACGGCTTACATGCAATTATTCAGTGACGCTATTTGACTCGGTGCGAAATGTAAATTTTGATATGCCGGATTACCAACAAATAAATAAAACGCGCTCACTGTTTTTATTTACTCTTGCTAAGATTAAACGGTTATTTTTCGTTTCATCACGTATTTCTTAATTATGCAGCGATAATAAATTCCAACGATATTATTGCACGCGACAAAAATCGATGCCCACAGCGCACGCAGCGGCGATCCTGACAGCCTATCAAATGCCGATTATTTCTCAACTCTTCAAATTGATGAATGCATAATTTACGCCACATACATCTTACGCGATACCAGTTAATGAGCACTATACAATATTTACAAAAAAAAAGGTACGAATAAGCGATATCATTAAAAGAGTCTCGAAATCGTTCGATGAAAATTAATAAATAAATTTCGCGTTTTAGTAACGAGGCTGCGGCGTCGAGCCATAACAGTAATCGCGAAGCTTAACACCACACAGCTCGAATACGCGGCATGAAATTGATACTCATCTCTCTTTCTATGGGGATTTATACTAGCCTTATAATAAACTCCATAATCGCCGATTACTTTCACTGCATTATAGCCGTGGCGAGCTATGAGCCTGTAACATATCCTGCTACACGATTGGCATCGTAATTGTCGTGACGGCGTCATCATTATCATGAGTATAAATGTTCGTACATAAATCAGTAGCTTAACCTTTACCTCGTTTTTCGTGGCTCGTATAAAATACACCAGACTCCAAACCGATTGCAAAAAATAACAAATTCCTTGACTTTTAAGATTTTTGATTTGTTTCGACAAGTTTTCGTTGCTTTATATTTTCATGTAACCATTTGCAGAGGTAACGGCACAGAATAAGCAATGGCAGGAGCTCTTCAACAGCACGTCGTGCGCGAGGCCACCGTTCACCTGTCCGTACCCTCAAATTCAGTTTTTCTTATATACAAGGTAAGCTATAATTCCAATTTAGAGATTATAAATCATCTGTTTTTTCTTAAAATCTTCGATGATCTCAAAAATGAACGAGACGCTGTATATCTGAAAAAGTGCATGACTTTTTACAATTGCCAGGCTGCGCTTGTAAAATATCAGAATGAGATGCAAGCTCTTGTGACAAACGTGCGAGGATTACTCAATTCTCTAAAAGCAATAAATAATTACGAGCTGCGCGAGTCGAAAGAGCTGTCGAGATCCTTAATAGATGCGCTGAAAAACGTCTGCGAGAGACTTTCGCTTTCAAGATCAAACTGTTTACATTATAGTAACACTTGCGGGATCGGGGCTCTCTCAGGCGAATAGTTCGCGCTCGCGAGCGAACCTCGATTAAATAGCAGAGGAATTTCTTTACTTTCCTGCTGTATAATATCTAGGCTGCGTCGTTGCAAGGGTACCTATACGCGAAGCCGTAATATGTATTTAGACGCCTGCGTGTGTCACGCGGTCGTCTCGTTGATGAACGGTTTACAACATATATACCGCGCAAGCAAAAGCAAATCAGGCAGTGTACACGGCTCCGTTCACTTTTTTTCTTCTATTAGCACTACACGCGCTAGACGAGAGTTTCTCTAAAGGAGCCGAGTTTACATTGGTCCATTGTCAAGGTAATTAACGCATCCGAGTTTCAGGTACGGCCTTTTGCTCGTAATTTAATCTTTTTTTTAACGTTTGTCCAAGTTCATTTGAATATATATTCGCTATAGCAGATTTCACAAAGCGTGCGAGTTTCGCTAAAACGAAGACGCGGTGAGAATCGCGGCCCTGAGTAATGCACGACGAATGGTAGGTTTATGGTAATTTGCGGAAGAGTTTGTTCGTGCCTACATAGCTCGTGTAATGAAATTTCAAAACGACGTTGTTTTGATGTTTTCTTTGTTCAGCTTTTGATGTAACTGATTCGGGATTAAAACCTGTTTCTTGAATTATTTTATTCGGGTCACTTGTATTATTTCAACAAGTAGGTGAAGGTCGTGGACGATATATTTTAGGCATGGATCCGAACTAATTGACGATGCTTCGTCGATTAATTTACGCGATTTTATTTTACTCTTTCGCAGCGCTATGCGGCAGACGAGTCCTTACCACGAGTGTACAAATATCACATAGTCTCTGGCATAATAAAATGCGCGTTACTAGTGGCGCCTCGCAATTTGCGTCGTCCAGTGGGCCTTGCTGATCGTCACCAAAATTTTTACACATCACATCAAAACATAGACAAATAGCAGCTTGCTCGCATTAGAAACTCCGTTACAACGCATGTTTTTTTGCAGAGAAACGCAGCAAAATGGTTTCCTACTCGACGTTACGAGAAAAAAATCCCTGAGTCAATCTCGCTTCAATAATCAGCATCCAACGAAAATAATAATTCACGGATTCGGTGGTGGCAGAAATTTGGCACCTAGTACCGATTTACGTAAAGGTAAAGTACTATTCCGATCAATAATAATAAAATTTTACGGCTCGTTTTATAAACATCAAACATTTATAATGTAGCTTACTTTACTCGTGGCAATTATAACATCATAATTGTCGATTATGGCTCGTTGGTACGCGAGCCTTGCCTCTCTCAGATACAATGGGGACCGGACTTTTGTTCGCGATGCATCGCTCAGCTCGTGCGTTACTTGAGAAATCATCCGCGCGGTGTTCCAGCTGATAATATTCACGTATTGGGCTATAGCGTCGGTGCGCATATAGCCGGTCTCATTGCCAATCATTTGCCGGACGACAAACTGGGTAGAATTACAGGTATGTTTGAACGTTCAGAAAGTTCTAAGTGTCTCGTCACAAAAGTTACATAATATATAATGAAGTTCAAATACTAAATAGAAATAATACTTCATTTCAAACTATTAACAAATTGTGAAGTGACTCAAAAAAATAAAATTTTGACGCGTTAAAATTGACGAGGACATTGATTTGATTTATTCATCGGGGCTTGCATCATTTTTTATACTCTTATGGTAATTGGTTAAAATTTATTGAGCATTATATTAGATGTTCCTTATTCAAATAATGTGATTGACATAACAATTAACACGATTTCGAACTAATTCTGTTTTTCAGTGTAATTGCGTATATAAAATGAAGTTAAAGAAGATGGGCTCGTAATTTGAAACTATTAGATCAGTTTTGAACGAATGTTCTTAATGGTAATAGCTATTCACATAGTTATTTTATTGTTAAGGTTCTTTAGTTTTATCAGAAAAAAGTGTGATGATTTTCTAGAATTTGAGATAGATAATTTTGGTTTCGTGCTAAGATGTGGTATGCCAAAAAAATTAAGTTTTTTATGCAGGGATTTTTTAACGACACGAATCTAAAAAATTCACATTTTATGTTTGAAAGATTGAAAAACTTTGTACTCAAATATCATAACTAAAAAACAGTATAAAACACTATTAATTATTCATTCTTATCATCAATTACTAAATTTTAATTCGATCATAAACAATCATCATTTCGAAAATGAAGAGTTGTTACATTTTTTCAGTATTCAGGTAATTAAAAGGTGTAATTTATGGTTTTATCATATTTTTCTCGATAGGACTAGATCCAACGATTTTTTTCTACATGGCTGGAAACCGATCAAGAGACTTGGACCATACGGATGCTCATTTTGTCGATGTGATCCACACGGGCGCGGGAATCCTCGGACAGTGGGGCCCGAATGGGCATGCGGATTTCTATGTGAACGGTGGGTCAAGTCAGCCCGGATGCGCAACAACGTCACTCCTTCGTAAGTTCTATCGTATGAATCCTCTTCCGTCTGTATAAGTTATTGTTCCATGCTGTAATTTATGTATAATTGCAGAAACACTGTCCTGCGACCACACGAAGGTGACGCCATACTACATCGAGTCGATAACAACCAAGGTCGGATTTTGGGCAGCTCCATGCCCAAATCTGTTCTCGTATCTGATCGGTCTATGCGACCCGAACGAAGACGATTACATACCGATGGGGGAGGATACGCCTCATTCGTAAGTTCTCAAGATCATGCTTAATAAAATATTCAATTACGGTATTACTGAAAATTAATCGTATCCACAGCGCTCGAGGAATATTTTATCTTTCAACAAACGCCCACAAACCCTACGCCCGAGGACTTCCAGTAAAAAAACGACAGCAAATAACAAACCGGAAGCGATCGTCCTCCCGCCAATTTTGAGCTTATTGAAACAAATAATTAATATTATAATAGAAAAGTAGTCAAAAATAAAACATTCTTTCAAAATATTACCAAGGCCATTGAAACGAACTTTAATTGAGTAGTAATGATATTGAAGGTCCAGAGAAATGTTTTTCTTAAATTTTTTTGGGACTAGAATAAAAACTATTGATTAAAAATAGATATCGAGTATTAATAATTAGAACTTAAATACTTTAGTTTATTAATCTCGCTGGTGTTTAGTATTTAAAAAATGTTAATTATCTTCGAACTTGTGTTAAAGCCAAAAACTTACCTACAGATGAGAAAGTAGTTAAAAAACTTCAAGCTATCAATCAAAATAATGATAAAATAATTGTAATAAAAAGTAAGTTTTAAGTAAACTTAGTTCTATGTGATATTTTTATACGTACGCTTGACAGTTTTTTTTAAATTGTTCCAACGCCAATAAAAATTTTAGTTTATGTTAATAATGTCACTAATAGCGATACAAAAAATTTTCAAGAATGTATACAGATGAGTAAAGTATGTGACTTGTAATTTGAACTTCTCTATATATTACTGAAAATGTTCTGAAATAGTGATTGTTACCATTATTTAGTTTTTATGGCAATGACCACTGTAAATTTTTTTTTTAAATTAATAAAAAGATCAAGTAAAAATTAAAGGTAAATTGGTAATTTTCAGTATTTAAAACATGCACATTATTTTAACTCTAATATTAATCAAATATAAAATTTAAAGTCATTATGTTAACAACAATATTTATTACATAATAATTATGATATAATAATAACTGCTATGGATTTACAATACATCGTTCGCACTAATCCTCAAATACATTACGTAATGGAATGATTACAAGATTTCTTGATTTGATACACATGACATCCCTTTTCTTATATATCATTCTTCTTTCTTCCCCCATTTCAATTTTTTTTACTCTCTCGGCAAGCAGATTTTAATTTTTTTTAATATGGATTATCATGATAATTATTAATATTATTATCATCAGGTTGGGTCAATTATGCGGTGTGTCATTACATTGTCTCTCTTATCAGCTGTCTTTCTCCCTTTTTTCATATTCAAGATTACAATATACAACGTAGTGTCATATACGATATTAGGAATCAAGCGCGTTTATAATATTAGATATTGTATATATAATATGCGTCGTCTCAAAATTTTTGTTTGCCGCTCGATCAACTTGTTGAGCGTTTTTTTTCTTCGTCGTTTTTACTTTTCTTTTCCTTAACACAATAATGCAACAATATATAATATGGCTCTATATATTTATGCAGTGTTGATAACATTGATATTTTCCAAGGGAGAAAGATAGACAGACTTCATAAATGTGCGCCAGTCGACGTATGTATATAATAATATCATAACACATTTTATACTTATTATAATTACAATACTTTAAAAACACGATTTCAATCTAAAATTACAATAATGATGATAAATAATCATAGAAGTAATCGATGAATAATAATTAGTTTTATTTTACAATCATGATCTACGCAACTAGGAACAACAACACATGATCATTTTTCAAAAATCCTTTGAACTAGTAATTTATAATATAATATTTTTTTAAACTATGCATCATGGTACTCAGCAATCGTACATTTAAAAAAGCTGCAGATTTATTTTTTTTTCAAGTACAAGTGGTATATAGCGGTAAGCTATTCAATAATAATAGCCGCGATAATTGATATACTATAGGCGGATTGAAACAATATAATTGCACACAGAGGACTTTCAGAGCGCAGCTCCTTGATGTATCGTTATCATAATATGTCGCTTGTTATAAATAAATATATATTGTATTACGTAGTTGACTAATGCTTAAATGTATGTACGGCAGAATTCCCAAATTACGAAAGACTCTTGTCACGCTGCATAAATATTGCATTGTTCAATGCTGTACTTCGCTAAATATTTTTTTTCTTATTTTTTGCCTTTCATTATGAACACATTATAACAAGCACCAATTAAAATCTATACTTTTTTATGCATTTTTATTTTTTGTAAGTTTAAAAAAATAAATCAAACTTCAAGTGTAATTCCACGCACATGTTAATGCATTGCAAATCATGAGTTGATACTTTTGGACGAATCAAGCGAATAATCATCATAGATTTGTAAAGACCCGCATTTTTATTATTATTCTTCAAATTGGAGCGTACTCGAATCGAAGAGAGTGAATCTCGACGTCAGGCAGGTATGACATTTTAATGTATACTCGAAAATGATTCGCGATGATTAATTGATTGATTGATTAGTTGATTGATCGTTGTTGGTTCGTATTTTTATTTTTAAACACTACTTTAGTGCAGCATGTATGTGATTACATATATAATGTAACATATAAATAATATTTAGTTTGTGAGACAATGAACGAGACGATTTCAATGCTTTTATTATCTTGAAAGCACTTATTTTTTATTATCTATACGCTAATGTGTAAGCTCCGATGTTGTTGTTATCGTTATCATTAATCTTAAATGACGCCGGTTTTTAATTATTTACTTCTTTAAGAATCAGGGCAACTCACTGCTGTGATCGAAACGAACTTATTATTATTTATTACATTAAATTTCAATTACCTAATTCATAAACGCCTAAAATTTCCAAACAAAAACTTCTCAAACGTTTAAAGTCATTCGTCGTTCTCCTTTAAAGATTAGAATTTGTGTAAGCTCGCGTCGTCAGCGCTGCCTAGATATTCTTGTAAACTAGTCGACTAATAGTGCATTTTATTTTAGCGCAGGCATCGAGGTATTATTTATATACAGGCACGTAGTGTTTTTAAATCATTCCATATCTTTTCGTTTAAACTGCATGCTGGCCGCATACAGATTTTTCTCGATTCATTATTTCAGCTTCGTTCGAGTACGCTAATTTGATTGAAAAATATTAACTCAAATTGTTCCCATTTGAGAAATTATTAAAGAAAAATTTCAATAGACTTTCATAATTTCACTGATGATAATTTTTTTATTATTATACAATACGTCAATAAGCACACATTTAGCTCAATATGATGAATGCAATGTTTAATGCCGATACTTATAGTGCGTGGCCCACTATCTTTATCATAATGAAGTATACGGAATGTGCGACTGCGTTCGAGTTTTTTTAATCGAATTTTCCTGAATCAAGTTCATGGAAATTTATTGTATATCATATCCACGGTATAACGGATTCATTACTTGCAACTTTCTTTTTCAGTAATGTGTCAGGTGTTGACGATAATTTTTTTTCTCTTAAATTTCTTTATCAACGATTTAAGTACTTCTTAAAAAGATAGAGTTGAATATTTTATTTTTAGATCGAAGTTTAAGGTCTACATTTCGTATAACAAAGCAATAACATTTAATATATTTGAAAAAGTCGATTACTATTCGGAAATCAACGCTTCTCTCTTGTCTGACCGATAAAAAATGTAATTCGCTAGTAGCCCCTTTAAACCCTTTTTAAATGATTCCTTTTCGAAATTCATCCTATTATTGGTCCGATCTTAGAATGTTTTTCGAAAGAAAAAAGTATATTAACCTTGCCAAGAGTAGAATTCCCGAACAAGTCCGTCTGTACTTCTGTATCTTGTAGTCACGATGAGTTTCCAACAAATTATATTGCTGTCGTATCGTAAATCGTTTAACGCGTATAAAGTACATGCAACCACTTAAATACCTTAGAGTAAAAAAAATAACTCATTTCCATATTATGCCATTGCGAAAAAAGATACAGAAGTAAGCACTCGATAACTCGTAACTTCACATTCTATTCTGTCTTAAAAATTCTGCCTCTGTCTTTTGTATTCAGTTCTAACATTTTTTACCTTTCCATTATGCTTTACTATAATCTACTCTTTTTTTGCTTGTTATATTAATGTCCTTTCTCAACTACATCGTTACTAAGAGTGATTCGATGAATGGCATGATATTTCGTGACTGTGATCAAGTTCGACGCATTTATGCAAGTGTGAGTGCTTTTTAGGTATTTGTGTACATAATGTTTTCACTGACCTCGAAAGGACCGAACTTTTTTTAGTGCTAAGATACTTTTTAATCATTTTGTTCACTCGAAAATCTTATGAAGTAAACTCTGAATAAATTATCACTTTTTCGGGTCCATCTAATTCATAGCGTGTATTTTTTTTGCATTCTTGCGTGCGGTGTAGTCTCAAAAATTGTGATAAAATAGCATTCCTTTTTGAGAAGCAAAAATAACAAAAACTGAGCATCACGATTTTACCATTGCACGTACTGGATAAAGTTTATTCGTAATTGCAGGTACATGTAAACCTCAAAATAATGTTTTGTCGTTTTTTTAACGATGAATAAATAATGTTTATTTCAGTTCGCTTGATTCTTTTTATACACTTCTACGTGTAATTATATTTCTGTCTTTCCAGAATGATAAATTGCATAGATATTTTGTGTGTATTAGTGTGCTTCGTGTACAACAATGATATATTCATGCTTAAGGTCATCGTGATAAATGCATCTTTTTTTGTTTAAGAAAGGCCATCATCTTTCGCATTTTAAATCCTCGCCTATATGTATCAATTAAGTGGTCACTAATTTTTCCTTAAATTCATTCTCAATTTGTATCTCTGATACTTCTACTGCAGATTCTAAAATTACATATTTCTTATATAATTGTATGTATAAGTGCCTGTTTAATTTATATTACAATGGTTGTTTTCTCATTTTTTAAAGCCTTTGACAAATCAATTTCTCCCGCATTCGCATAACAACATAAATAGTCATTGAAGTATCGATCATCATTTTAATAGTTTTATTTTTTTTCGGTCTTCAATGTAAACATTGTCAACTCGTCAACTTTGAAACGAAAAACTTTCGTCAATTCAACTATATATATATTTATTTATTAATGTTTTATAATATATATCCGAATTTTTTTTTCGAGATAAATACATCATGTTGTATTATAATGTGTATCATTCAGTCGTTCATAAACACATAATTTTTGTTTTAAGTTAATTTACGCGAGTATAACGCACCATCTTGACACACACACTTGCATCTCAAAAAATTACAAGGAATTTTTAAATCTTACAGACATTTATTTAAATATTTATGTATAGCTCAATAACGTGTGTGTGTTTTTTTCATATATGTATATAATTTTTTTTATATAAGATACATGTACACTCAAACAAAGTAAATTATCTCGGCGGTTTTATTCAAAATGGCTTAGGTTATTTTATGTACCATAATTAGACAAGGGGGATATTAATGGAAATATTTACATAGATCAAATATGTCCTTTCTTTTTCACTATAATAATATATTCAATAACAAATTTATCTCGATACAAGTATATAATATATATACAGGATCGAGTTAAATAAATTGAATTTTTCATATACTTTTACATGTAAATATAATCGCGCTTTTAATAAATATAATCAATCATTAATAGAGGGCGCATCCGATGAACGTGAAAATTCGCTTCAAATGACTCATTACGACAGGTAATTTTTATTTATATACTTTTTTTATCTCGCCTCTAATGTGCGCCTGTGATGGTTGTAAAAACGAACGGTGCAGTTTTTGGTTTTGCTACATGATAATAAATCCTTTTTTCTTTTCATCTTCGTACGTCGACAAAATATACAACACGTCGCACAATTTTTCCCATTCATTTGTTTACATATATAAGTCTGTATATATAATATATCTGCGTTGTTATCTATTTATGACCCATGAATCTCAATAATATATTTAATCATAAATCAGATATTAGTTATGTATAAGTTTTTTAGCGATATGACATGTGATTTGTGTAGCTCGGAAAAAACGATTCATATTTTCACGTTTTTTTCGATACGAACAAGCGTTTTATTCATTGGTGCATTGATGAGTCATGTGATACTCCTCTTTTTGTCTTTCAGCCCACTTTATATTATTTATCCTACATGTAATATTTTTCATGACTCACATTCATTCGCTTCATTCACACGATAATTTACTTGCAATCGTCTCAATTATAATTGTAAGTATGATAATTTTTGTTTGTCAAGTCATGTATGTAACTTACAATAAATATTATACTTGCAACTCGTTAAAGTACATATGACATTTTCCTTTATTTCATTTCTTCAATCTTTCGTCCTTTATTTATTATTTTCATAATATTCATATGTATATAATCTTTGTTATTTTCTTCCACGATTGCAAAATTTTTCCGTGAATCATTGGAAATTACAATCATAAGTTTTGTTGTCAATCACGCAATGAGAATATAAATGTATTATGTGTGATTCTTTTGTCTTCGTTAAAATGCTGTAATTTATTAAAAAAAAAAAATTGGAATATAGAAACTTGCGCGTGAAAATAACAAAAAGAGACGTCCATATCGACGCTCTTTACAAAGAGTAGCTCATCGCTATTCTCTTTGTAGAGAGCGTCGATATAGTCTTTGGAGAAACACCGCGAGACCATTTCTAGCGCGTCTCCGGGATAAAAAATCGTCAATCGGACTCGTTCGCATCATCATCTACCCGTAACCATTATAGCTTTGAAATTGTTTGAAAAAATTATTTACACGCACGCGTCCGCATACTCTCGAAAACGCCGTGCAAATTCCGTTGTTTTTGTAATCCCAATTTTTACATATCTATTTAATTTAGCTCGACTAGAAGACTCGATTACGCGTGTATTATATCACACACGCATACGGGATGGGAGGTTTGGGCCGAAAAAAGCTCTCTCGTGCGCGCGAAATGTACACAAAACAGGCCGATCGATTGCCGAACGCTGCTTTTTTCAGTTATTCATTAATGCAATATGCCTATCGATATACTTATAGTGCTTCTTTTTTTTTTTTTAATACTTATGGTTCGTGCCAGAGCGGCGACGGTAGCGGTGACGTCGAAACTCGATAAAATTTTCTCATCCGATCGTCCTCTCTTTCAATCCCGTTTCATTTTCACCCCCGTAGCCAATAGATAATTCGATCCGAAGCGAGCGTCCGTTTATAATAATCATAATAATATAGTAGTAGTATCTAGGCCAGTACAGCGTACAATATTTCATTTTTTATTTTTTTCTCAACAATACGTGGAAACGGAATTTTCTTCGCTATTTATTTTCAAATATTATTAAAGCAGTGATATTTTTGCTGCGCATTCGTTTTATTTAACCATTATGCTCCTCTACTATTTGAGGGCATCTCTTTGCGTGATTTTTAGTTAGTTATAATTTTATCTTAATTAATTTTTTTATCGGATCAAATCGAAAACTTATAATGATATGATATTAGCAAAAAGGCGCAATCTATAATTTATACGCTTAATATATGTATATAATAATATAGCTTGATGAATCGCAATGCGCGCGTCACAGCTTTGAAACGGCGGGATTTCTCTGTGTTATTTTTTGCACTTATTATTTTATTTCATCAATTTTTTTTTCTTCATTTATCTGCCTGTTGTATGTATATTTGTATTATACACGAGAAGCAGATACATAATAACATTATTATATTGTCGACGATACCGCCTTTAAGACGCAAACGCTCCGAGCGAGTGAGTTTCAATTATACGTAGAGCAAGTTTGTTTTTTCTTTTCCGTTGTTTTTGTTTCTATATATCCCTCATCTTGACGTTAATAATATCATTTTTACACTATAGTTTGTGTATCGTATCAATGATGTGGCAACGAAGACAGCGCAGACAAAAGCATTGGTCCTTCGCTTCATTATTATTATTATTTATTTATTTATTTATAATTAATTATTATTTTTTATTAATTAAGAAGACGATCAACGATTAAAAATAAATGAAAAGTTAAAAATCTACCCAACGATTGAGTTTAAACAATTTTTTCATAATAATCGAATCCAATGAGCTTTTGAATTGATATAATTCGATTGAAATAAAAACTGATTGAGCTTGGCTATCAATGCGTTTTGCTTGTTAAAGTCTTCGATTTTTTTTCAATACTTCCACTTATATAATCTTAATTTATGCATTACAACTCAATAATCGCTCATAGATATAGAGACAAAAAAGTATAGCTGATATATAGTATCGTTTATATACAAGTTACTACACTTCTCATGCAAGTCCTAGAGATCTTAAAATTTTGTCGCTGATTTTTTTCATGATGATGATTCGGATCTTCGCTCGTTATGCTTCTTAAAATTTACGTTTGAAACACGCCACAAATAATTTACGCCTATCAAGTACTTGTAGTATTCATTTTAAATTGTTCTGGAACTCCATGCTTTAGTTTTAAATTTACTTCCTGCGAGCAAAAATAAAAAAACTAAGTCCAATTGGCAACGAAATTTCTTTCAAATAAGGAATATTAGGCCTTACTCATTACGAGGAGCGTCATCAACTTAGTCCTTTTTGTCGCCGTCCTCGGGATCTTTGAGCGTGTGCCATTGGGCGATGGGACGTCTCGGCGACGCCAGCATGTCCGACCAGTGTCTCAGTTCCGTGCCGCTGGCGTTGTAGCCCAGCAGGACCTTGCCGATCGGCTCGGACGTACCGATACGATCGTAATCCACCACGGTCACCATCAGGTTCACTTTCTGCAATGAGAGAGACAAACAAAAAGAAAAGACAAGATCCCCCGGATTAAGAGGGTCATGGATTAGTAATTTTCATATGATTGCGTGCCACTTAATTCTACCAAACAACAGATTTACAACACTCATGGATAAATGTCATTGTTTGCGAAGAATAAATTGTGTAATGCACCATGGTCGGTATAATGCATCGTTTCCTGTATTGGGTTTTTTGGTAAGGTAACCCACACATATAGTACAAGCACGTGTCCCTGTTGTTGTAGAGATTCATCCTGTTTTCTGTATGTTTTTTCCCTCTACCTCGTTTTTGATTTTACGGAGAGGGGAAAGGAGGGGGGATTTCAACACATAAAAGAGATCTACTATCTGAACCCTTGGAATGGCTTTGCATATCAGAAAAATTGGTTATAGCTCATGCAGCCGAAAACCACTCCAAAACGATTTAGATGGCAGATTTTACCATCGAAATGTACACTGCGAACACTGCAAAGTGTTAACTTACTTGTATTTGTTCGAAAGGTACTTCGAAGGTAAAGGATTCGTTGTAATAAGGATTGAGAGTACACTTCTTGATCGAGGTCTTCTTTTTCTTGAGACGTTTGCCGTTTTGCATGAGGGCGATCTTGACGTAAGGATCGGACAGACCGCCCACGTCCATTTTCTTCAGATTCTTGGCTTCCAGAATAACGACGGTCAGCTTACCGGCCGTTGGAACGTATCGCAGAGAGAAGCAAATGTCACCTAGCTTGTTATCCTTAAAAATTCACAATAACAATTCATTTAATATTGTCGAGTGCACAACATTTTATGTTTGCGATCACGATTGAAATCAAAGAAAGTAATGGGGATACGAAAGACTGTCTCGAGTCGTGGGGTGCAACTTACTTGACCACCTTCACCCTCGACACTCTGAAGCTCTCTCCACTCCTCGATTGTCTGAGCCAGATCCACCTGGCAGAGCGGCACTTTGACCTCACCGATTTGGTCATGCTTCGAAAATCGATCGAAATCGAAAATGGCGAACACCAGAGTCTTGTTCATGGCGTCGGCGTACGGCACACCCTAGAGTAAGAGAGAAAAAAGAGCAGAAGGATTTGTAATTCTCAAAACCAATCCGAACGCCATCTTTTAAGCTGCATTTACGATCGTGATCGTACCTTGAACGTGAACGTCTCGTTGAACTCGGGATTGAGCGTCTTTCTGTGCACCTTAGTCTCGAACTTCTTCTTCTTGTCGGGCAGCAGATAGACTTTGACGTAGGGATCGGACGTGCCACCCATGTCGAGGGCTGGCAGTTCTTCAGCCTTGATCACCGTCACTTGCAGACTGTTTGAGTTGAAGTCGTACTCCATCTAAAGACGGCCAATATATGTCCATGAGAAATGGCAAACAATAGCTTATTAACGAGTTTTGAGGGGTCGGCGTAAAATAAACAGCCCATTACAATCAATTTCACGCGCAATGATTATTTATGCGTACGCGATAAACGCGAAAATTTATATGGAGCAGCCAAGAGCAGAGAAAAAAGTACGCGTCTAGGTATATGCGTAGGTGTGCATCGTGTGTATCGAAAGTGGGGCTTCTCGGGCAACACGAATAAACTGTGTATGTATGTTGACACTATCTAATCAGCCTAGACCTTTCTTCCACTCCATTTATTCGCTCGCGTACATATAACGCTGCTCTGTGCCTTCCGATCAATCGTTTCATTGCTCAGCCTACTGCACTTGGCGCTCTGTCCCGTTCGTTTTTTCTTCTTCTTCTCGTACTATTTGCATCGCGCCTAATAGACACTCGCTCACAAATGCGCGCAACTTTTTCCTCCAATTTATCTTACCAATATAGCGATTTATAAGCGCGCGTGCTCCGTCTTTAAAACGCGCGCGAGCATGAAAACACGAGAGAAGAGAGGCGACCGTATGTACGTATATACGTTCACACGTGTGTATACGTGTGTACACGTTGCAACGGGGCGAGAGAGCGGCCGCGATCAATAAACATTCACTCGGCTGAGACTTTAGCCGTACGGCGTCGTCGTCAGAATTTTTATTTTGTTCCTCGTTCGCTTTTAACCGCGCGCACAGTTGCTTACTCGCTGAGTGCAAACATTGGTACAATTCCTTCGTTCGTACATTTGTTTTAAGTAATCATTGACTCTTGCCGCGACTCAAGGGTGAGTTTGTCATTGTAATTGCAATGTGCCTAGCCGAGATAAATCATCGAAGCGGTCGGTAGATTAAAAAAGGAGCACTACCTGATTATTTTACAATTAAACTCGAAGTTTACCCGATCGTCAACTATTACCGAACAAAAAATATTCATCCATTATTTGGTTTCATTTTTACAAGATCGAAACACGGTCAACCAGTGATGTATTTGGATAAGAAAAAAAAAAAGACATAGTGTCGAAAAAATGGTCACCTTGTACTGGAGCCTGCCGAGCTTGACTTCGCTCTGTTTGCTCTCGGCCTCCTCGGGCTCCTCGGCGTTGTCCGTGAGCTCCTCCATGTCGGGCTGCACCTGTGCGTTTGGAAGCGAAATTTCCATCGTACGGATGAGCATTGCGCCTACTTTTTTGCGACTAACAAGCGTGATAGCGTAGAGAGATGCATAAAGAGACTTCACCTCGCGCGTGAACGCAGGTGCCTTACCTTGTCTTTGTACGTGCTGCCCAGCAGCTGGACAGACTTGAGATCGACGGCGCCCTTCAGGCCCTTTTTGCCGTCCTTGGAGCGCCGCTTGCGGAAGCATCTTCTTATGCAGAAGGCGGTCAGACCGAGTATGAGGATACCCACTGGGTGGAGCGAGCGAGATTGAGAGCAAAAAGAAAAAAGAAGCAAAGGATAATGGCGATTGCTGCTGGTGCTGGTTTTACAATTTTCTTTAATGAATAAACATGCCAGTATTCAGACACGGTGCAGCGATTTTCATTGAGATCGCTTAGCATCAACGTGTTCATTGTAGCATCTTGACGTTGTTGTTTTTCGCTGACATTTAAATGTATCAATTCATATCTCAATCTTAATCATCAATAGTAGAAATTATTGCTTGAATAATTAAGAAGAATCTTGATTAGTATCTATCACGCGAAATTACAAACATAGTTTAAACTTGACTATGAATCTGGCATGTTTATCCTGTAATTAAACTAATTAATGGTGCAAGAGCTCATATTTTCTAATGTACAATTAAAAAATTGATCGTCGAAGCGCTATATTCTCTCAGAGCGGCTGAAAAGAGATAGCAAGGTGAGATGCGTCGATGACAAAAAACTGCATCGCCTCGACGGAGCAAAAAGCACACCTTCATTACAGATGCTCAATTTCTTTGTCACCGAGTGACGACATTTCAGCCAAGCGTAAAGAGGCGACGTTACACTCCGAGTCGCATCTTCGTCTAGCTTTTTTTCTCGCGTCACTTGCAAAATTAAAGATACAACGTCATCGCGTGGAAAAAATCGTCCAATCTTCATTACACTTTTCTTCAACGATTCAGTGGGATGAATACAAGAAAATTTCAAATTGTTTATATTTTTCTCATTACTTTTGCGCTAAAAGCGTTCCCCAGCGCGATTTAGTGCACTGACGTCGGGCTAATTTATTCGAAAAATTTAATCTAGAAAACGTATTACGCGACGCATAACTGGCAACAATCAAAACTGCGCTTACCACAACAAAACATAATATCGGCCGGCCGAACCGTCACTGTTATCGCGTTAATGCAAATCTTTCGATTTCGCGGACGCAAATTAACACGTATTCGTACGCTAGGCATGTATTGTTGTACCTATTAAAAGGGTTATTAAAGCCCACGTGGGCATGCCCGCTTCGGCTGCGAGCTTTTCCACGCCCTTCTCTATCTTCTCCTCGACGGATTTCACCGTGGTACCGATGAGGCCGTCCGATTCTGTTGTGAGTCCAGCTGCAAAAAATCAGAATATTTTATCGATCAAGAGGTTTTCAAGACGAGTGTATCGATCGAAGAATAGAGGTGCCTACCTGGTACGCCTTCCTCGGCTACGGCCCCCGTGCCAGCCGCGACGCCGACACCTGCCGCAGGTGCTACTGGTGCTGCACCGGCCGCGGCCACTTCTGCTCCCGGTGCTTCGACATTCGTCGCGGGTCTCAACGTCGTCCAGTTTTGACTGTTCGCCACCAGGCCTGGCTGTGTCTCGACTGCTGCCGCAGGCGCCGCCGGCACTGGCGCTTGCCTCTTCACGAGCGAAGGCATTTTTCTGTGCATTAAAAAACAAAGGACAATCATTAAAATTTCCAAGAGTTTTTACATGGGAAATTGATTTCGTTTAATTTATCAAATATTTTTGTTTGCACTCACACATCGCTCGATTAGAAAAAAATTACATTCTTATTATACTTCGTCATTTTCGCACTGGTAAGAATATTTCGACTCGCAGTCGATGAATCTTAAATATTCACGATGTGCTTGGTATTTATTACTGAGCAAAAAAAGTAGTACGATCGTCTACTTTTTAATGCGAGAGAAAGAAAAAGGAAAAACCGGTACGAGCTTGAGCAAAAAAAAATTTCTAATGGACAGAATATAACGGTCTATTCAGATAAAAAAATATATAGGACTCGCTGTACATGTTTCCGCGCGAGGCGATAGTAGTATTCTAAAACTTTAAAAACAAAAAAGAAGCTAACTTTCGCGTAAAAAAGGCGGTGACGAATATATCTGTGTGTATAAATTATCACTACGGTGATTAAAACTTAAACACTCACAGTGATAGCAGCTCGTTGCAATAATCATGCCTCTACGTAAGAAAACGTCGTTCTTTTTCCACAATGAAGTAATTCGATCGTTACGTTGAATAATGAATTTTTGCCGCGCAAGAGGCATTAAACAATTTTCAGCATCGCACAATCTTTGTGGTAGAGAAAAAGAAAGAGTGAGAGAGAGAAACTTTTGCGCGTGTGTACGTCAGATGTGCAATGTCAAATTGAAACGTCAACATTCGCATTGCCAGTTCTATACTTGCAAATTAACAGGCACGCGTTAGCACATTGTTCACTTTCACACCTTGTCTTCAGACGAATTAGAACTGACATCGTGTTCCATTTCTATATTTAAAATATATATCCATTCTAAATATTGGTTCGGGAGTAAGAAATAACTAAGAAATTCTCTTCTTTGCGCGATAAGACCACGAGACGCCGCGCACGCAATGGTCAACTACTGGCGCGATACTGACCGACGCGCTGAGCACGCGTACAAACCAACAACGCCGCAATGCTACGAGTTGCACGAGTACGACAGAAATACGCAGAGGCTGCACATATATGTAATGCGGGGTACACAGATTTCCAACTTCTATGCATTACATACGAAATCTCTCGGGTAACAAAGGCTCTCGAAGCAAATGACGCAGTCGGATTATTTTTTTGCTCTTTCATACGGTAATTGCCATTAATTTATGCTGCATAACCAATACCGATATTTACCCATGGTCGCGGTCACAAGAATAAATTAGATTTCTCTCTCTCTCACTCTGGCGTTGTTTGCTCGAACGCGCGATTAATTTTAATACCTGCCACAGCACATTGTAAACGGCGTATGCATGTGTGCGCGTTAACGAACACGAGTTTCGACCCACGACGATCGCGACGTCGAGAGGGTTTATGTAATAATAAGTAGTGTATGTTTACCCGGAGCAGCATTGCCTGCACTTGATTCCAGAGGATGCGGGAATCAATAATAACCACTGCCAACGAGCTCGTCTTCGGTTTCAATTCTCCCGATATTAATCAAGAGAGGAGAGGAGGAGTCGTTTAATCAAACGACAAAGCTGACGCTTTCTTCGATGATAATTGGATTATATTTTGAATTTTCATATGTCCAGGCGACTGCCGTATAGAATAAACGTCGAAATATAAAAACGAATTTCATATTTAATCTGCCACTTGATTTTTATTTAGATTTTTCGTGCTCATACACAACGACGTGCCATGATATTCAACTTTATGGTTTCGCGATCGTAAAATTTCGAAGCGAATCAAAAGTGTGTTCCTGGGTATTACGATATGATAATAAAACAAATGCTCGGCCCGGGTATGATTCGCCTTTATGGTAGTCGTTGGTAATATTTGATAGTCATATTAAAATAATAATTGTTTGGCAGAAGTAAATTGGATCAAGTGTCGAGAGGCTTTGTAAAATTATGAAAAATCTGTTTTTATTAGACGGGCTTTATATCACTCATCGCAGAAATAGATTTATAAAAGAAAACCACTTCAAGGTACAATTATTACCTAATTATGATTTTTGTTAAATTTTCTTTTTCATAATTTTGTGTGGTGCTTAAACGCACGATGTGTGCCTGTAAAAAAAAATACAAAAACTTACACGCAGTGTAAAAAAAAATTGACGAATAAGAAATCGCTTTTCTCACTTTCTAATTAATCAAAGTGAATCTTCCCGCGATAAAGAAATAATTCAACACTCTCGAGCGAGAAAGGGAAGTTGATGAGATGTTACGACGCTCTCCTTTCTTACAAAAAATATAAGGGGAATAATTTTTTCACTCGTAAAGAGAAAAAGGAAAAATCCAAACCCAACGTTAACACTTCCAAGTAACTATTACACGCCCGCGCGATCGATCTTGAACGCGTTCACATCATTATAGTATATGTGTTAGTGCACTTTATAAGCACGGTAGGTGCAGAATCATAAAAATACACAAGGCGTACGCGCAAGCACATTTCTCGCTCTCTCTCTTTCTCTCGTTCTCTCTACGGGGCAGTAATTTTCTTTTCGCTATATTGCACGCCGGGGCGAGCATCGCGCGCTTTATGCACTTATTAACGAGAAATAGAACTTAGGTAAAAAGCATTTCGAGATCGGCGGAATACGGGGCTACCATTGCGGCCAAATTATTATATAAAGTAAGAAAAAGGTTTAGCGTTACAAAAAGTCTAATGAAAGCTCGTTAGATCGAGCTTGGAGGCGCCCGAGCAGCACGAAAAAATCGGACGGAACTCGAGGTACACGGATCGGAAAGGAAATGAAAATAATCGAAGCTTTAATTTCTCATCGATGATCGCATCGAAAGCGAAGCCTTTTCTCTCTCTGTCTCTCTATCGGCTAGAGTAGGGCTTTCCGTTTTCTCAAGCCATATAATAATAATCGTTATATAAAGAGGCGCGCGAGGGCGCAGATAGCAGCCAATCATCTCTGTTCTGCAATTTCTAGCCCCTGATCGTTCGTATATATTATATGTACGCGTATAACTCAACAGATTGCCGTACTCCTGTCTTACACATCGCCACCCACCCTACTACTGCTACACGCTTGTCTCTCACTCGAAGTAATCGTCTTGCTCCTTATATAATATCTTATCTAGGTGGGCGTCCACGCGCGCTCGAGTTTCTTTCGACCCATAGTATCTCGACTTCCATTCCTGCAGCAGCTCGTCAGCGCGAATACATGCGGGAGCTCGGTAAACACACGAGTGTCGCACACGTATAGAGGCGTCCACGCACGTCGCGCGCCCGTGCCAGTGCGTGGAAAGTACGCGATATCGTTATCGTCCTTAGCCCGGCGAAATTCCCGGGCGTAGTAGGCGCCACTAGTAGTTGTTGGAACCGCAGCGAATCGATATTTCTCTCGCGTGTGCTCGTACGTATATATACCGTGCACGGGGGGCTATGTGTTGCTCCGCGCACTACTGGTGCGTGTACGTCGGTACGCGTCTATCTAGCTCTATGTTATCGCACGTTGACTATATATAAATGAGAAAAAGAGCTCGAGTACTATAATAAGACTGCTACGCTTGCGTTTCGCAGTAATTATTTGACAAAGACAGCTCCAAAAGAAACCAGTTATGTCGAGTCTCTTCTAACTGTTTTAAAGGGGGAAAGCGCTCTGCAAGATAATCCTTGCGAATACGAAATTTAATCTTTTATCCCTTCGTTCGTTTATCCTCTGGCCGTCCTTTCTCTGTCATTAAACGCGTACATGCGAAAATCGCACGAAGGTTGCCGATACCACGGGCTCGGGGTAATACATGGATTTCGACCGATTCGATCCTCTCTTCATTCATCATACATACATATATGCGGGATTCAATCGAGCGTGCTCACGTTCGGAGAGAGAGACGAAATACCTATATGGAGCTTGAAACATTCAAGGGCCGAATAACCCAGAAAAGAAAGAGCGAGCTTGCATCGGGGATGGCTTGGCGCTTCGTATGTACATAATACGTGACAAACAAGTTTCCGAGCCAATCTTTCAACGCGAGGCTGATATTGTAATAATGGCGCGCGTGAACGTAACACAAAGCTTTGCATGTGTTTCTTTGTAGTTACGTGTGTTTTACGCAGATATACAATAAAATTTGTAATATTATTGGTGAGGTAATGCCGGCTTGCTAAGCAATTCACACGCGCGCCAGCGCAAGCTTTGTTAAAATTCTGAAAATTAATTTTGCTTGTGTAATAATACATCTTTGACATAAAGCCTCTCGAAGCTTTATTCTGTGCGTGAATAGAATTTATTTATTTATTTATTTATTTATTATTTTTTTTGAGAGAGGGCGTATAGGTATCATTACAAATTTTCCGCTATTCGGTCTCCCCCTTGTTCGAGTTAAATGATACATGATCCTTTTTTTTGATACACGTGAATCTCCCCAAAGATAAATACGTATACAAAATATGTGTATCTCTCTCTTTTCCTTTGGTCGAGGAATCTAAGTTTAATCAACCCCGAGTTTTTTTACGAATCGATCGCTCGGGTTCGAAAGCTCTTTCACGCTCCACTGTGAGTACGTGAGCTTTTTTCGTTTCAGCTCCGAGCTGCAGCCAGCACTCCGCTAGAGTTACATGCTTCGCGCAGAGCTCAACTCTTTCTCTTTACTCGCTGCTTTTTCAATGCTGCGAAACGAGCGAGAACGGCACATACATTATACGTAGAAAGGATGTAGCAGCAGATTTTGCATTGCGTTATTTGTTTGTCCAGTTTTGCAAGCTTTGCAAGCTTTACGAGCTTACGAAATTGAATTCTTTTTCATTTCTCCTGACCCTTTCTTCGGATGTTAAAAACAAAAATTGTTAACAAATTTTGCCCGAAATCCTGCCTATATTTTTTTTAAAACAAGCACTAATAATGTAACCATAGCCAATTAAGTCTTCAATTAAAAACTCGCATGGAGAATCATAATGTAATATACGAATGTACAGATTCTCAATTCATTCCCTTTTGCGAATAAATTTCGAG